ATATAAGAAATGATTAATTTAATACTTATAAAGTATAAATTCAATGCTTTTACTATTGTAGAAGTATATTAAGTTAATAAATTTATTTAATAATATTTTAAATTAAAGATATAATTCTTATATAAATATAACTATTAGTAAACTTAGTATAAAAATTTAAAAATTTTATATAAATAAGTTATTTTAATAAATTTTATAATAAAAAAATAAAAAATATATTAAATAATATTTATAACTTTAATAATATTAATTTTATAATAAAAGTTATCTTAATAATTAAAGTGATTATTAGAGATAAAATAAATAATAAATTATTTTTTATACAATTTAAAAAAATAGTGAATAAATAGTTATAATTGAAGTAGTTAATACTATATACTTAATTTTATTTTTTTATAATTATATTAAAAAAATAAATATTATTAATTTTTATAATATTTTAATAATATAGTTCTATATTATTTTATTTAAAGTTTTTTTTAAATAACTTTTAATATATAAAATTCTTCTTCAATAATATATAAAATATTATTTTTTATATATATAATTTTTTTAATTTTATTATTTTCTTCATTTATATTATAATATTTTAGTTTAATTTTTATAAAATATCAAATTTTTAATAGATTTTAATATTTTAATAAATTTTTAAAAAATTAAAAATAAAATTAATTAAAAATTTTCTTAAAGATTTTTTATATATAAATTTATTTTAAAAAAAATAATAAATTTAATTAATTTTAATATTATATTTTAATTTTAATTTAAATATAAATAAGTAAATATTTAATTATCTAAAAAATAATTTAAAAAAATTTTTATTTATATATTTTATCTTTTAATATAATTATTAAATTATTATTAATTAATTTTTATAAATAATTATTTGTATAGTAATTATAAAATAATTATTTTATTATTAAATAATTTAAATAAAGTTTATTTTATACTATTATATTAGTTATTTATTTATTTTATATTTTAATTTTTAATTTAATATTCTTATTATAACTATTTAATTATTATTTTTATAATTAAATAATTTTTTTATTTTAATTTATATATAAATTTATATTTAATTTTATTAATTTAATATAAATTTCTTATTATATTAATTTTTAATAAAAAACTTAAATTAATATTTTTATCTATATATTTTTAATATTTATTTATTTAAATTAAACTTTATTTATTTTATAAATTTAATATATAAAAATAAGTTAAAAAATTTTAATTTTAAATTTAATTCTATTTTTATAATAATAAAAAGTAAATTTACTATAAAAATAAATTAAAATTATAAATTATAAATTCAATATTAAAATAGTATAATATAAAAAATAATTAATTAATTATATTATAATTATAATAATAATAATAAAATAATTAATTATTTAATAATTATAATTTTTTATATAAGATTTACATAAATTCTTAATATAGAAGAAAATTCATAGTTAAAATAACATATATATTAAAAGTTTCTTCTTTTAAGTATCTACAAGCTTTTTCAATAAGTTGATATAGGTATTTTTTATTTTTTTTTAATTTTTTTTTTTTTGCTAAAACTACTCTGTAATCTATTCCATCACTTCCATCCAGTGAATTTCATATATATATAGCAATTTCATTGTAATTAGGAGCTTCTTGCTGAAAATATTCTTCAACTGCTGGGTCAATATTTATGTTGTTGGACGTAGTGTTGAATTTTGAATTGAGGGAGTTGAAGGGAGAAAACACGGAGAAAACACATATTGAAACGCGTTGGGTTAAATGGTGGAGTGCGCTAAGTGGTGGCGTGCGCTAAGTGGTGAAGCACGTTACATGTCTCCATATTTTTACACTGAAAACAGCGAGAGAATTTGAAACACGGACCAACGTGTGTTGGAGCAGGCCGTTCGGCAAGCATTATTATTCGATGCAGACCGGCATGTTTATGTGATCCCAGCCTCAGCTAGAAGTCTTCAGTGGAGAGCGAGATTGTTGGAATAACATGTATGTGTTTGAGAATATTGCACAGCCACAAGGCTGAGTCGGGACGGACAAGAGACTGGGAGACTGGTGGATGGAAACCAGCAGCTTGTTTCATCGGTTCCATGCAGGGGGGTTCACAGTGCGAAATCGCAGTGGGACAGATTGAATGGACGGAGAATGCCATGAAATGGCCCTGAAGACCGTTTAACTAGATTCATTTAGCAAGTGGAGAGAGGTTGATACATAATATACATGATCCTTACTTACCTCCCCCGCGCGCTTGAACTGGAAGAAACATGCCTGTCGCGTGGCTAAAAATATCCCACCGCCTGGTCGATCGGGCTCAATATGGCGGCAGAATGAGCCAGTGGATATGGATGAGGAATCATTGCGGGGTAGATTGATAACCAGACAACTATTGTAACTAACTACACGGCCCAGGTTAAGCTAAACCACCGTGCCAAACTAACCAAAGGACATTGATCATTGAAATTGATCCCTCCGGTAAACTGCTCCGTATGCGACATAAATCGTGCAACTGGATATGGGGAAGAATTGATCACACATTTCAAGGGAATATTATCTATAGGACTGGACAACACTGTTCATGTTCGGAGTATGGATGCCGTGGTGGTAAGAGATTGCGAGGCTGGATGATGTATGTTGATGTATCCACTATGTATCTCTAAGCGAAAATTTATAGCCAGTAGTACATCATATTCCATGGGTGGTACTTGGATGGTACATGGGCCGCCTGGGCGCTGCCCTAACCAACCTTAGTTACCTGATTCAGACGTTTCCTCTCCAAGTTTCTCCCTATCTCAGCCCAACTCTCTTCCTCCCTCCGACATCTCCCCGTCCAACCTCCTCGTCCATCCTCCCCGGCATTTCCACCATGTCGTCCAGCCCGTCTTAACCTCCCCCCTTGGCTTCTCCTGACGCATCTCTCCTCTTGTTTTGGGTGTGGTCCCTGTGGTCTGTGCGGTCAAGATCCACCACCGCGTGCCAAAAAGATCATCAACCACAACCGCCCAATCCTTCCAACCTTCAGGTTCTTCTTTTCGGCCATTGTTCGCCGCTCTGAGGAGCTGTCTATTCTTAGAATTGGTCTATCTTGCTGCTTACCTTCTGGAACGTCAATAACTGGTCCCAACGCTGGAAATACCCCTTTCCTTCCACCAAGCCGATTTCCCCCCCGCAAAACCGAGTTGCCGTTTCTTTTTCGCGTCATTCTTGAGTGTTGTGAGGGAGATCTAACACGTCGCCGCTGCTACCCATACCATTGCCGCTGCATCGCTATCCGATAATCAGGGGCATTCTGTATTTCTTCTCTGGTTAGGTGTCAACAAATAAACTCCCGAGTCTGCTAAAGGTGGATCTTTTGTTGGAGGAACGTTAATAGCTGCCATTCTCAAGTAACCTCATACGTTACATCTTCTACCCCTCCTCCTCCTTCTCCCACATACGCGCGCATCAACAAACACGCGCAATGGAAACTCCACAGGAGGACAGAGGGAGATCTCGTTCAATGAACAATAAAAGTCGTTCTTTGAATCCATCAACCTCCCCACACCCTCAATACCATGACCCCCGGACCTCTTCGCTTGAACTCGATCCTGCTGGTACAATCTTCACCAACTCTCCCTCTTTAGCCACTTCCAATGAGCAGTTCCCCATAACCACACCTTACCTATCCGCATCCGCGCATGATACCAATTTCCTCCATCCCTCTGGCGTCACATCGTCGGAACCTCCTCCTTTTGGGCATCCCCAACCGTTCTCTCAAAGCTTCGAGGCCGGTTTCCTCAATCAGCTCGAACGCTCCTTGAATATCAAAGCCGCGCAGGGGGAGGAGAACTTCTCCAGCCTCCTTAACTCAAATAGGCCACAATTTGAGGATTTTACTATTTACACAAACACTAATACCGCAACTGATTTCGACCCTTCACTTATGCTTGATCCACAACTCAATCAGAATCAGCGACAGCAGCAACAGCAACAATTAAACCAGTCTGTCAATCCTGCGAACTTAAGCAGGATATCATCTCCACACCCCACTCCCCCACACTTGATACCACCTGATGCACACCCGTCCCCTGGCCGTCCATCATCTCCAGCTTCTAACCCAGGTGCTTATTATACCCCCAACCAGTCTCGTCCAACATCATTGGACCCCACAAGTGCAGCCTTTTTGACGAGCCAATCCCACACCGATTGGCAAGGCATGCTAGGGAATCCCGCTTTCCAAAGCCATCGAAGAGCACCATCAGAGCACTCGGACGTTTCCTCTGCTGCGCATTCGCCCTATCTCGCCCATCACGATACCTTTGATCCAGACATTAACAGTCATTCTCCATTACTCTCCGCTCAAAACGATCAGAACCCATATGAGAATGCCCTGGGAATGGAAGCATTTTCAATATCGGAGCAGGTCCTACATCAAAGGCTTAGCCCAGGTCAGAGCCCTTATATCTCTCCGCGCCTGATGCCGCAGCAACTAGGTGCGGATCCGGGGCAAGATGGATCATTTATCTTAGCACAGCATGTGAATAATCAACTTGGACCAACTAGTCCTCCAGAAATGTATGTCACCCGGGCTGAGGCGACCCCAGCACCCGCACCCGCTTTTCAAACCCATAATAGTCCTGGGGATATGGGCCAGGCTGCCCAAATGACGCCGCCTTCTATCAATGTTGAATTTGCGCCTCCATCACGAACCACAAGCTTTGGTCCTTCCAAACCGGAGACAGATATGGACACTCTCAGCCCTCCCGCTAACCGTAAGTTTTCACCCCTGATACATCTTCCTCAAGTACATCATAAAACTATTTTATGCTGAGCGAAATGGAACAATAGGCTCTCGTGGACGCAGCAAGTCTGATCCCTATGGTCATCCCATGACTCGTCCAATGCCACTTTCGACACCTCCAGCTATCGCTGGTCCAGGCTCCCAACGTTCCCTTTCACCTTTTAGCGGCAGCACTGGCAACCTGAGCACTCCATCCTCCCGTGATGCTTCTCCGTCAGCAGCCAAGAATCGACGCCAGTCAACCTCCTCAATCGACAATCGTAATTACATACTGGATCTCGCCGACCCCCAACGACCAGGTGCAAGTGCTACAGACTCTAAACGTATCCAGAAACACCCGGCAACCTTTCAATGCAGCCTATGCCCGAAACGCTTTACCAGAGCCTACAATTTACGCTCTCATCTTCGTACACATACCGACGAGAGGCCCTTTGTGTGCACAGTGTGCGGCAAGGCCTTCGCCCGCCAGCATGACCGCAAGCGCCACGAGTCTCTCCACTCCGGTGAAAAGAAATTCGTATGTCGTGGCGATCTAGCCCGCGGCGGCCACTGGGGTTGTGGGCGACGGTTCGCGCGAGCAGATGCGCTGGGTCGCCATTTTCGCTCAGAAGCCGGCAGAGTATGTATCAAGCCATTGCTAGATGAGGAGGTGATTGAGCGCGAGCGGACATTCGGGGTTCAACAATCTATGCACGGTCATTTGCAACCAGTGACTCAACCGATAAGTATCCCGCCGATGGAGGGACAGGTGTCGGGCTTTACGCTACCTGCAGCGCTGCTGGCACAGTATCCTGCTCTCCAAACTCTGCAGTGGGATCAACTCTCGTCACAACCGGATGATACGGCTGGTGGCGGTGGCAGGGGCAGTTTCGATGCTAGCTCTGGGGGCGAATTTGGATTTGGTGATGATGACGATTCAGGAATAAATAGTGGGTACGCGAGTGGCTCCGGGCAGAATTACACGTCTGGCCCACCACAGGATCAGATTATGGGGGCGCCGACTGCTGGGGTTGGTGGCTGGGGACAGCACAGTCAGGAGTGGACGGCTGATTACAATGGTACTAGATGAAACGAGAAAGAAAGGAAAAAAAAGAAAAAAAAGACCAAAAAAAAGAATTAAAGAAAAGAGAGGGGGAAAAAAGTCCATTTTCTTTTTTTTATTTTAAACATCCTGGGGATGAATACATCCTGACAGCCGCTTTTATTTCATTTGTTTCATATATTGAATTTGTTTTTAATTTTATTTTTCATATCACGTTTTGGTCGCTACTCTTTGGTTCTTCCTTTTGCTGTGGGATAGAGGGATGTGAATGATTTCAGACTGGGTAATCATGATGGTATGTATAAGCCATGATATGAACAAACTTCGGAGCTATTTGTGTTAAGGTGGAATATTTATATGTCCTTGTGTTGGTATTCTTATTCGCTTCTGTTGTTTTCTTCTGTGCCCTTTGTATTTCTCCCCTCCATTTCCCCCTCTTCTCCATTTGAATCTTCTCCCCTTTCCAACCTATTCTACAGTTTTATTTCAGTTATATGTGTACATACATCCAAAGTTACCCATGCCGCCATGGGCGCCTTTTTCCCTTTCTTTTATCCATACCCTTATTTTTCTCTCCTTCCATTATTAATCTTTTTCATACCTTACGATTCCCCTCAGCGTTCATTTCCCTCCCCTTCATTTCCTTTCGTCAAATTATTAATCCATTTTGGGGGTTTTTGAACATTCGCTTTTTGGTTTCTTCTACTATTATTCTCCGATCCACTGTTGGTTCACAGATGCATACCCCTCGTCTTTTGCCGCATTGGTTCATGCTACAAAATAATTCAACGAGGTCGGTCCATGCAGCTTTGCTTTCTCTTCTCTTTTCTTTTCTTTCCTCTCATTTTGTTTTGATTGTCACCTTTGGGCGGGAGTTCTCTTGGTTTTATGTAACTGATGAAATTTTTTAATGAAAGGAGTCGGATAGCTTTGATGATTTGATTTGATTTACCCTATTACCATACGGAAGTATACTCGTAAGAAAAAAATAAATATTTGACTATTTGGAGAGTTTTTTTATTGATCTACAGAAGTATATATCGCAAAATCATATAGTATTTTTAATAGTTCTTCGATAGCCAGTGCTAATCACGGAGACAAATTTGCCACTTGTTTCACTTTTTTATTTGATAAGCTTGTATATTTTTTTTTCTCTTGCTAAGTATGTAATTCAAACGAATCTGAACCATACATGGACAATTATAGTTTAGATAGGATAGTACACATCAGACAAGAACCAAGGTATGAATGTCTATAGTGGGTCAGCATGCTTCTGTTACGATAGTATTTCGGCCTTCCCATTTCTGATCTACTTTACCAATAGCAATCAACTAACATCCCCAACCCATCCCATCCATCGACACATGCAACATCTAATTCTGCTTTCCCTCCCCGGTTCGCCTCTTTCTCTCTAACGCAATCAACTTCTCCATCTCCCCACCCCACTTCTCCGCAAACACCTCACCCGCAAACCTCCTAGCCGACTCTCTCGCCCGCATCCTCATCGCCACCTTCTCTTCATCAGGAAGCGCCAGCGCCGCCTCAAACGCCGCCGCAAACTCTGTCTCCGTCGTAGCGCGGAAGCCCGTCCCGCCCTCGCCCAGATCAACCACAATATCCTGCTTGGGTCCGCCGGAGTTGTGCACGACGCTAATCAGACCAGCCGCCTGGTACTCGACCACGCCGATGCCAAAGTGCTCGTTCCACATGGCATTTACACCGATGGAGGCGCGGCGCAGATGATCGAGGATCGTTGGCCAGGTGGCGTCGCAGATGAAGGTGGTTGTGTTGCGGATTTTGAGTTCGTGGGCGAGCAGGCGGAGATTATAGATGTGGGTTTCGTCGGGGCTGGAGTGGCGGACGGAGCCAATGAAGATGAGTTGGGGGGATTTTGTGGAGGCTGTGTTGATAGAGGAGGATGTGGAAGGGGAGGACTGCGTGTTCTTCAATTCCTTGAGGAAACGCGCAAAGGCGCGAAGGATTAGAGAGTGGTTCTTCTCAGGGCGGAATTGGGCAATGTAGAGGATTATTGGTTCGCGTGCTTCTCGCTCGTGGGCAAGGTCTATTTCGATTGATTCTAGCTCTGACACCGCTACAGGGGGGAATACGACGGTAGGTTCCTTATATTCTCGCCGTTTTTTCCGAGAGGGGAGCCAGAGGGAGCTGATGTGTGCGGAGGTCCAGGATGAGTTGCACATTACTACATCAACGGTGCCACCAACCCAGCCGTAGAGTTTTGCGAATGCATGCCAATATCGTCGCTTGGCGTATCCTTTCCAGCCGGTCCCCGCACCTGCATTTAAACCTTTTGTACCTGAAGTATCGTCAAGAGAGTCAAGCATATCTGTCGATATTGTAGGGTAGTGGACATATGCTGCAGTCGGAATCGAAGGGAAGAGTAAGTGGCAGAGCGCAAGGACGAATGAATATCCCATAGTGTCAATGAGAATATCCGGAATTAGGAGATGGAAGGCATCGTATCCAAGGATCAATGATCCCACGGACTGTCCAAGGAGAGTAAATCGTGGATACAAGTTGCTGAGGACATATCTGCGTGTTGATAGATATAGGAGTATCACCGTTGGAGGGTAGAGGCGGATATTGAAACGGCTCTACGTTTTACCAATTAGCTAAAAAACATATGGGCACTTAAAAGTTCTACACACTTCGATCTTGTCAAGCATGGTGGTTTTATCCACGTCAATATCACCAGTATATATTGCGCATATAGCTTTTGGCCAGCGTTGCTGCGTGGCTCTTACTGCTGCCCAAAGAACACGCTCGCCTCCGCCACCGGCATTGCTGCGAAACATCGGATCAGTCCATTTGTATCAGGAATGACGACAAATTAGTTTGGCCCCTTACCAGAAAGGATGAAGGAATCCTATGATGCCCTCCCAATCTTCACCCGCAGCGTCCCCATTTGTGGCAGTCCCAATGCCAGCAGTCTCGACCTTTTCCCAGTCATCGTCTTCGTGTTTCAGAGAGATTGACCTTTTTGACTGAAACTCCTCCTCATCAAACCTTACCCGAGAACGGATTAGTTCCCGCTTCCACTGGTATTTCTTTGAAAACAGCCACCCTAACAACCTGAAAACAGAGCGGAAGACAAATGCTGCCAGCCGCGGAGCAATCAGGAAGAGTGTCAGGAGCGTCACAACCGTGGCCACATAGGAGGTGGACGACAGCAGCATTATGGCATGTAGTCGACGGCGGACTGTAGCAATAGATACTGGCAGCTCATAACTGAGAAAAGAGTGGCTCTATCTGGAGAGAGAAAAGGAATAAAGAAGAGCAGAGGGGCAAAAAAGGATGAGGCTGGGTAAAAGTTGACAGCTTCGGAGGATAAATAAGCAAATATGTCACGTGCTAGTCTAGCTTTCGGCGATAAAACTTCCGCATTCTGGGCGACTTTTTCATTTTGTTCGCCGGCTTCAACATATTCAATTCACACTCACTCTTTGTTTTCTCTTGGACTTTCGTGTTCTTTTTATTTGCTACTATTGCCCGTTGAGTGGGCTACGGAGATGCTAAATAGTACGTCGCCCGAGCCGTGAATAGTGTGATGTCCCCCGGGTACGGTTTATCTCTATATGCTTTGCAGACCAGCAGCCGCGGTCTGAGTGCGAACATCTCTCGGATATCATGCCCGGTGAAGCAATGCCCAGTGAGACAGCACTCAATTGCTTATCAGAGGCGCAATTTCCACCCGTCGCGACCTACTACCCAGATAATCTCCACGTCGATTGAGTGTGCCCACGATCTTTTACAATTAGTCCATACCTACAGCGGTCTCCCATGGGTTGCATCAATACCGCTCACGGCAGCGGTTGCGCGGATAGCATTCGGGTTGCCCTTTCATATGTGGTCAATGTCACAGCGAAACAAAAAAATACTTCAAAACCCGGCCATCATTGCATATACCCGTATGAAGAGGAAGAGCATCTTGGATGAATGCTACAGAAACAAATGGTTTCTGCCACCACGAGTTGTGAGCCGAGAAAGCGCGAAGGCAGTAAAGCAGTTCCAAAAGGCCTTGTATAGACGTCATGGACTCCGCTTTGCTTCGTTCATCCCGTTCGCCCCGCTATTACAACTCCCGTTTTGGCTCGCTTTTATGGAAAGTATCCGGTCAATGTCAGGTTGGCAACCGGGTCTCCTAGTCATTCTTCAACAGTGGATTTGTCCAGATGCCGCCAAAGCCCAAGTGCCCGTGGAGCTCTCTCTCTCCACTGAAGGAGCATTCTGGCTCCCTGATCTCACGGCTTCAGATCCTCTATACGTGCTTCCTTTCGCTATTTCTGCCCTTATGTTCACCCATATTACCTGGGGTTCCAAAATTTGCAAGGCAAAGGAACTTCCGATGCTGGCATCACAAGGCAATTTGCAGGGGATATTTTCGTGGGCTATCCAGCGCACTTTCCAAGTAATGTCCATTTGGATTGCACCAGCTTTGATGCATTCAGAAGCCCCCGCGGCTCTGGGCATATATTGGTTAACCACAACCTCCGTTGCAATTATCCAGAGCCGGCTTTTGAAAAAGTTCATGCCCCCCCCGACTGTACCAAAGCCTTGTGAGAGGAAAGATATTGAGAGGATTATCTATGTAGAGAAAGTTTCCCAAGTGCCAAAGCAGGTTAATCTATAGGGGATGAAAATCGGTTTGTGGGAACTCCTGCAACTAGCACCCATCTCCTGGTCAACATCCGGAAATGCGATACCCTAGTGGGAATTGGAGCACGATGTCAAATCACCGGGCATAGGGTCCCTGGGGACAACAGGGTGGGTTCCAGAACCTATTTGCTTTTTTCTTGTTTCGGCTGCACTTGGAAGATAAGATCTTCCCTGCTGCATGTGTTCAACCAGATCGTTATGTTGCTGGTAGATTCTTCGAATAGGCAAGCAAGCCTTAGACACTAGCATCTCCAATTTTATTGTGATCCTCTTTCTTTCATTGGCTTGTAGTACATGCAATTGTTTGGTCAGAGTGGGAGAAAAACACATCCATCTAACTACTTGGGTATTTATATAAGGGATTAACGTAATGTTGTTTTATTACACTATCTCCCACCTGCCATAATTATAGTACTGATCCAGAAACCGAGGAAAGAATGTTCTTGTGGAGAGAAAGACGACTAAAGCTATCATATGGCTGACAACTCTACCCTAAACGAAGATGGAGGGACGGGAGGGACTAGACCATACGAAGAGCAAACCAAGACCACCCACAAAATGAGTTATTGTTAAGGTAAATTGAGGAGGTTCGCGGGTGTAACGATTTAATGGGAAGAACAGAGAAGATGAAATAGCATCCAGAAGACTTGAAATCCGTCTATCCGTAACGCCTTAACCTAACTAGCTAACAGAAAACGGCAAAATCTACAGCGTCCTTATGCAGGTAATGTGGGAAAAAAGCAACGTACCAAAACTGCCAATCGAACTCTTGGGAAATACTGGGTGTGGAAATTCTAGAGCTTGGGTCTCGCCTCAGCTGCCGTGGCGCTGGCCTCGGTGTTTAACGTCACATCACCAGTGCCGGGGCCTTCACCAAAGAAGATGACTTCGACCGTAAGATCATCTCTGGACGTGGTGGGTTAGTGCATTTATAATGGTTTTTATGTGATGAAATAGGCCAACGTACCGATATCGTCTAGAGTATGGGCTTGGAAGAGTAAGCAATGCACAGACCATATCCCGATCTTTCCCCCCCAACGCGTTGCGGATCAAATGAGTAGCTGCGTTCTTGTCCTCTACGATAAATCGCTTGCTGTTAGGGCGGATGTCCCACTGCTGTTGTCGGATAGGGAGTCGTTGGCCACTCGCTTTATCCGTCCCAGCTTGCTCTACAGGTAAGTTCGACCCAGAGCGGAACCAGTTTTGCAACCAATCTTTAGCACCTCCGTCTGAGGCAAGGGAGTGTTGGTGTTCTAGCCATTGTCCCACAAGCCCGACAACTTCCTCGTTGGTGAGCATCTCCCATAAACCGTCCGTAGCCAAGACGACAAAGTCACCGTTGCTAGGTTCAATAGCCGTAGTTGTGATAATGGGTTCAGCTGTCACATACGGCGGAGTTTTCAAAAGGTGATGTGGTGTCCTTCCAAAAAAGTGGCGCTTGATTTTATCCTGCGTTTCACGTGTCCATTTGTAGAATGCGTCACCAAATGCACGACTGGGTTCAAGGTTACCTAATATTCTATCATTGCGGACAACGTTTGGTTCGTCCGGATGCTCCCGACGTAGACGTTCGACTTCTGATTTAGTTGAGCCTGTTTGATCCTCTGAAAGTGGAGTTGCGACCCATTTCCCGCTTGGTGCCCTGCGACCAAGTACTGCTCTCGAATCTCCGGTGCAGGCAACTCGTAACAAATTAGATCTGCTGTCATAGAAGGCAAGAAGAGCACAAGATCCGGACAGTGCAGGCGCGAGAAGCTCTGCTGCAACACGCTTCGAGTTTGATTTCATAACCTTGTTAACGCTTTCATGAACAATTTCGTGATCGAGTCGGACAAAGCCATTTTTCATCGCAGCATTGACGGCTTCCGGTGATGGCAAGATCTTGGATGGACCTGCTGCAGCGGCTTTGTAAGTAGCATTCAATTCGCGCGCAACAAAGGATATCAAGGCCTGACGCAATTTTGCGGACGTAGTCCATCCTCTTTATGTACGGTCAAATATCAGTAATGCGGGGTAGTAGGTATGCTAAATTGTTGTAACTCACGAATGACCGTCAAATACGCCCCAGAACATCCAATCACTGCTTTCGGCACTGCCATGATCAGAAGCAGAGACTGATTGTGGCACTTCTACGATCTTCTCTGCATGGTCGTCTTCGATAGGGTCGTTACTGGGTAACTGAACAACATCATAGCGAACGACACCTCTTCCACGACCAACGAGATAAGACTCCTCATTCCGCCTGAGTTTCTGCGTCGCTTGCTCGGGGGTTAACATCTCCAGTACTTTTCTTCCAGAACAGTCTGTTTCCTTGGAGAGGGGTCGAGTGCCAACAATATTGCTAGCATAGAATTGATCATTCTCCACCAAAAGGGCACGGCGTGTAGTTGTGGCAGTTTCCTCTGGAGCGAAGTTCGTTGAATCTCTTGAAGAAATTCCCCGAGACTGAATCCCCGTGGGTGATACAAGACTGGTGCTCGAGCTTAAAGGGTTTGTGGAAGCGCCAGAGTGCTGGCTCCCTTTGTAAGCGTACCAGGCGCCGGATGCCACTAAGGTCGAAATACAAGCCAGAGAAAAGTTCCGCAGGTGCATGGAGGACTGAACCGTAGCAGGAGTAAAGGCAGTCGCTTTTCCTGTAGAGGAGATAGTTCGCAGCGCTACTGCATAGCTAGGTGTAAAAGGTGCGAGATGGTTCCGTCCGAGGTTATGAAGAGAGGGACAACGTGCTGTTTGCAACACGTGGGAGGCTGCTTGACGCATCGAAACCGTAGGATGCAGAAGCCGGGGAAAAGGGTTTTGGATAGAAAGCCTATCCCCAGTACTCTTTTCAGAGAATAAATGAGAATAAAGAGGGGAGAGATGTTGGTGATAAAGAGAGGGTTGACGCGCGGAGTTGGGAGGTTGAATGCCAAGGCTGTAGTTTACTTGCCAATCATGACTAAGCCAGAGGAACTGGCTGTTTAACAAGGTTCCTAGTTAGGTCGCCGCCTTTGTGTTGCATATAACAGGTGCAAAGTATGCATTTGATTCATCCTAGGACTTTTGGAGTCCACAGATGATAGATATTCTTTATTTTACATTGAGGAGTTGACTGGCTGAACTGTGCTGGTAACTCATGTCTTGTCCTCATCCTTTGTCTCTCTTTGTGACCTTCTAATCTCTGAATAGTTACCTGCATCTCACATCCCGCCTCCATGTCTTCCCGAGCTTTAAGAAAGCTCCAGAAACTTCAAGAACAAGAACATGCAAATGATTCACCGGATGAGCTGGATGACAATTTGCACAGCTTACATAGTTTCCAAAAACTACAACCTAAATTCAATGCGTTTGACTTGCTAGAGAGCCAGGATGCAGAAGACAAATCCGATTCAGAGACCTCAATCCCGGAGCCGATTCAGACGCCAGAAAAGCCTTCTACTCCTTCAAAACCCCTGGATACTAAGAAAAGGAAGAAAAAGAAAAAAGGTGTCAAGAAAGCAGCAAGTCCTATAGAGTCCAAACCCACTGCTGTCCCCCCTGCGGAAGAGTCGGAACTGGATGAGATTGACCTCGCATTAAAAGCTTTGTCTGCCAAACAGCCATTGCGAAATGACGTCGCGCCACTGGACTCGGACCAGAATTCATGGCGCACTGAATTTGGATGTCCATCTGAGGAACCTAATGAACTTCTTGCAATCGATCCGCGACGCCTCAATGCAATCAACGAGATGAAAAAGTTATTCGGCAATGTGGTGTTAGAAAGTACCAACGAAGCTTCTAGTGCAGGAGCAGGGCGAAGAAACAGAAATCAACATCTGGATCTTGGACGGGCGCTGATGGGGCGTTATAACCCTGTGAGTCGTGGGCAGGATCTTGCGGGAGCGACGCTGCGTAAAAATGTCTTGATGCAGGCAAAGGATGAATGGCCGCGGGCGACCAGCGGAGGACTTGGGATGGAGGTAGTGCAGAGCCTTCACTCCGACAGAGCGGAATATAAACTCGTTCATAACAAAGCTTACGAGGATGCTCAAAGGCAGTTTGACCTGTGTGTTGAGTCGATGGAACCGGAGAGAATGATACACCATCTGCAATACAATCGTGAGTTAAGCCCAATTCCAGTAATAATTGCCACATGTCGTGTACTTATGGTTCGAAAAGCGTACCACATCTCAAGCCTGTTACAAGTCTCCGAGATTGCCAAACATCAAGGCGACCATGCAGTCTCAGGAGATCTCCTCGAAAGAGCGTTGTTTACTATTGGCCGCTCGGTCCACTCCTCATTTAGCACTCGCTTAAAACAAGGGAAATCACGATTGAACTTTAACATTGCCGCCAACCGTGAATTTTGGCTTTCAGGCTGGAGATATATCAAGAATTTGGAGATGAAAGGTACATTGAAAACCGCGTACGAGTGGGCAAAGCTACTCCTAAGCCTGGACCCCGGGGATCCGTACTCCATCAATTTGATAATTGATTCTCTAGCTATCAGAGGACGAGAGCAGGATCATTTCATCAAACTATGCTCTCATCCGTATTTTAGTAAACGTTGGCAGAACTTTCTTAATATCCAATGCTCACTTGCGCTGGCCTATCTTCTCCAAGGGAAACCCGTCGAATGTCGTTCACAGTTGCGGAAGGTGATGTCTCATTACCCCTGGGTATTTTGCCGTTTATTTCAGGAACTCAATATCGAGCCCATACCGAAGTCCATATGGGCAGTGCAGCCTCCCAACGAAACGCACTGCTTGTTTTGCGAACTCTACATTGCGAGAGCTAAGGATATCTGGAATACCCCTGAGGCAATCTCTGTTCTCGTCGAGGTTGCAGACACTCTTACTAAATCTAAAGAGGAAGTACAATCTCCTGAGATCACACTGGATATTGCTCGTCATGTCCTGTTGTCAGATATTCCGTCAGTCACCACGCATCTGCCTCACCACTTTTCTGCGGAACGAATGTCGGCCTCAGACCCCCTGCCGCCAGGCCCGCAGATGGATTTGTCGCTAAATACGCATCCCGTGAGGATATTTGACGACGCAAGACAGTTATTCGGGCTCCCTGGAGAAGAGGCCATTGGCGATGTCGAGAACGAGCCGGAGGATTCTGAGGATGAAGAACCACCAGATCGACGTCCAACTGATGGTGATGGTGATGAGGTTGAAGATCAAGCTGATGATGATTTATCATCTCCTGAGGAATATCTTTTCAACCGTGGGCTACAAGATTTGCAAGACTTTTTACTGGTAAATGGGGTAGATCGGGGGAATTGGAATGCTGATGATGACTTAAATCCAGTGACCGTTTGGGTTAGAAGACTACGTCGACTAGACCGGGAGGTCTGGGATTCTGTTATACGCGATGCAGCAGCCGAACTCGACTCACCCCTAGTCGCTGATATACTCTTGGATGAGTTGCAATTGCAGGAAGATGTAAATCGTTGAATCAATTTTTTTATTATTTTATATATATATATTGACTTGTATATCCTTGTTAGTGGTTATTTGTGGAGCTATGGGAAATGGACAGAGGACTAACTAGAATTGACGAAAATTGTACAATTATGTTATGCAATAGTGATCACGAAACAGCTTTTACGCTCATGAGATATATGGATGAAAAGTCGGCCCCTCGAAAACTCAACTAACAGAAAACATAATATATGCACAATGAAATATCTAGGTATATCTGTTCTCCTCCGCAAACGGCCAACCAGAACGCCCCAGCAAGGGAAGGAAAATATTCATCCAGCAATAATAAAAAAGGAATGACAAGAAAAAACATCTCGGCCATAAACCTTATTTAACACCGGACCCCGCACCAAGATTCTAAAAAGAGACCGGGGTCTGTTTATCAATGTCATTATGCCTTATATTGCATGCAAGAGAGGGCTTTTAGATGCTGGACACTCAAGGTGCATTTCAAAGTATGTTCCCACCGCAAGTTCTCCCCCAGTTCCTGTTCTCATGTCAAATAAAGCTTGTCGTTATTCGTCGTCCACTATCTCCTCCACGAGATTCCACTAACGGTTGAGGAGGTAAGGTCAAGCGTATTGACATCCTCTGAAGATAGATCCGTATGTGGCCATATTTGGGGCTGTCGTTCACTAGTTTCTATTCACTCTGTATGTATTCTGAGTGTTGTTTGTCGCATTTTCTACAATCATTTTTTATACCATCCACTCCCCGCCCGTCTGGTGTGTACAGACAGGTTTGTAGAATACATAGCACTTCCCCCAACATATCAGGGATCCTGGATCGGATTTTGGACTGCGTTCTGATTTGGAACCGGATTAGGATTGGATTTTACTGGATTCTTGATAGAATCTGCGAACTGCTTGACAGCAATCCTCTTCGCTTGCTCCTCGAGCGGAAGGGCCTCGAAATCCGCTTTATTCTTATCCCATTCTGCCACGCACTGGGCATTCCAGTTACACGTCTCAACTTCATCAAACATCGGATGCTTATATCTGCGGTGGTTGCTTGGCCATCCGGACGCATGATAGTGATGCTTGACCAGTGCTGTTCTGGTGTTGTGATTTCCCGAATCCGAGTGGCCTTGGCCCGCCGCAAAAGCTTCGACGGTGAGAACAAGAATGCCACCTACGACCTTCGACTCAGCCATATTATGGAATACGTCCCAATTCACCTCGTTTCCTGTCCGATGGCTCATGTCTTCAAGGATCGCATTGGTAAATGCAGAGGGCCCAGTGCCACTGATCACGTCATCGAAGTCCAATGTAAGTTGCGAAATAGGCACGCCCTGCTTTTTGGAAAGTTCGTTGAGCCAGCGAATGATGTTGTCAACCAGTTTTAACATGACAGGGAGGCGAGGTTTGCAAATGAACGTCCACTGGCAGAACGATTGCGACTTGGGTCCGAGGACGGGATGCTTCCTAAACTCCGGTTGATCGATCTCCACACCGATAACCATATCTATGTTCTTCTCATTGAACCTATCCGGAATAAATCTGTCAAGCGGCCTGAGTGCCTCGACATCAATGTCCGCATACACCCCACCCTCCACATACATGATCAGATACCGCAACAGGTCAGCTTTGATGATTCTCGCTGTCAGAGAGCGGTAAACGTATATTATATCTGGGCGATTGAAACCCTTGGGCCCAAAATGCGTCTCAAGATAATATAGATCGTTTTGGTCGGTTAGGACCTCGTATCTATGGGTCGGGTTCTTTGATGTCCAACTCCGGGCACAACGCAGATCTCGTTCCTCAAAGTCGAGCGGATCTACTTTCCATATCTGCCATATCTTCCGCGGGAAGCCGCCTGCAAAATACATGGACGGAGAGAAATCACCGGTGTATTGGCCTGATGACGCAACAGTCGAAAAATATATAATGAGGAGTATAAATGAGATGCAGCCGGATAATAACCTCCGGGTCAGTCTCGGTTTTGCAGCGAGCATATTTCTTTTCCCTTTCACCTCCTTTCTTTTCTTTCCTGCTAACTGTTGACACTTCTCGGTCTGCTGATTTATCCCGTTTTCCCCCTTCCCTTTTTCGGTTGGAAATGGGCGCAAAGAGAAAACAAATTTCATGGACGGGGAAGGGGAAAAGACTGCATTATTGAATAATTTCTATACACATATCATTTCTTGGTTTGTCTGTCATCCAAAAAAGAGAGAAAATGTTTAGAAGAGGAGGACAAAGGAGGGAAATGAGAGGGAAAGAGGATGGGAATATGGTTAGAGAGGAAAGGCGAGAGAAAACTCCAAGCTACAACTTAAGTTTAGTTATTCTTTCTGAAAGCCGAGCACAAGGAAAGAATCGATAAATGTACGACCCGGTAGTCAATATTCCCTACTCGTTACCTTATGCCAAAGGAAGAAGAAGCCAAGATAATCGAAATCCGTTGAAAAATACGATGGTAAATTACACAGCTCTTCCAGGCCAGACCAAGCTCGATCTGGGGTTCCATGTATGCCCGTCGTTGCTCGTTATAAGCTTATTGTGGAAAGCATGCTTAATAGCCAAAGGCTGAGCCTAACATGCGGCATTTGTTCAAGCAAGTAATACAGGGTTTTCTTCTGTTCTTTAGTTTCTCCAAAATACAGCCACCAGCGGAGACACCAGACAAGAGAGAGCAGGTAGAACACGCCGAGGATGATCACGTATGAGAATGAAGGCAGTCTGCATGTCTCAAACATTGCCTCCTTGTGAGAGACACCGTCGTTGTAACTTCGACCTGCTTTCTTGCATGTGAAATACTTGGGAAATTAAGAGGCAATATCTTTGAGCGTGGCTCATAGTCTCATCTTCAGAGGAGTAACTCCGCTATGAATATTCAAGCTGGATCGAACATCGCAATCATAACAATAACTCGGCATCTTCACGGGCATGTCCAACTGTCGTCCACACGAACGAACCAAAAAATGGACTTTTCGACCTCTTGGGAGGCGGACTGAGTCTTGCTGATGCTCCACGAAATACGCTGTCTGACCACTCGAATGTGCGGCCCCATATCTCAGCTACCCCTCCTCCAAGATCCCACCCCAGAATGTTCGGCCTTGGCATAGTTAATGTTGCCACAGCTGCGTTCTCATGTGAAAGTCTGAAAGGCTTTTCTCTCTAGTCTCTTCCGGCGAAACCATCCCGCTTAATTTTTATATCCAGTTGGCAAATGGGTGTTTCTGGGACGATTGAATCACGTTTTACGACATTATTATTAACGACGTCCATTTTCATCATCGAGGAGGCCTGTGAAATGGCATTATTGTTGGTCGAATATCCAGATGTGATATGGAGATTGTCTGTATGATAATTACAGAGCAATAAGAAAATGGTTCGGCCCATTGTACCTCAGTTTCCAGGCTAAGCTGGGGAGGGAGGAGAAGCTCCCATTCTTTGCGTCCCTGCGCTGTGATCCATAAGCAGTCCACCTCTTTGACCCCGGATCCTTGATGGACTTTGCTTTGCCGAACCCCCCAGCTCCACCTCCACGCCCAGCACAGCTTGAATTTTGATTTTAGATTTCTTCATTGTCCGAAAATCCCCCCAAGAAAATAACTCCTCCTCCGGAACAGTCTGGAATCAGCTTTCCTAATGTCTGGCTCCCAATATTTTTGGTTAATTCTCTTCCATTTCTTCCCATAACTATTAAATTTGATGCGAATCATCATACCCACAAGTAAAAGCTGAATAAACAGAGGTCCGCTACCGGATTGAGATGTTTTAGAAAAAATAAAGGTCACCCAACTAGTCCCCGCCTTTTGCGCCCGTATACTTCCCAATTTCCATCCAGATGATGTCTCCTGGTGGTGGGCAAGAGGGCTTCTTGGGAAATGGGAACTGGGAGGAAATAACACCTGAATGGCGGCCCATCAGTGTTCAAGCATCGGATACCACAAAGGAGTGGGCAAAACTCGTTCGGCCAGCCGGATTATGGAAGTCTGCTACATCGCGCAGAATTGGGAATGGAGGTGGAGGAGGAGGACCAGGCGGGCGCCGCACGGCATATCTCGACGGCATAAGAGGTTTTGCTGCCTTCCTAGTATACTGCGGACACCACCAGCTGTGGACGCACGAGATGATGTCAGCCGAGGAGATATTCGAGAATGCGTTTGGTTATAAAGGACGTTTTTATTTTGCTTTGTTGCCTGGCATCCGAGTGTTCTTCTCTGGTGGCCATTTCGCCGTCAGCGTGTTTTTCGTGTTGTCTGGATATGTATTGGCAGCGAAACCGTTGAGTCTGATGGTTGATGGCGACTATGTGAAATTAGGGGAAAATATAGCCTCTTCGTTGTTTCGACGCTGGTTGCGGCTGTTTCTACCCGTCATCGCCACAACGTTTCTATACATGACTTCGTGGCATGTGTTGGGTATCCGCACGGAGCCGAAGCCGTGCATGACTTACCGCGAGGAGCTGTGGAATTGGTATTCCGAGTTCAAGAACTTTAGCCACATTTTCAGAACTGGCAGTGACCCTTGGTTTTCGTACAACTTCCATGTGTGGTCGATCCCCGTCGAATTCAAGGGCTCGATGCTCATTTACACCTCGTTACAGGCATTTTCGAGATGTACGAGGAATGCACGGTTATGGTGTGAAGTAGGACTGATTTTCTACTTCATGTACATCACAGATGGAGCGCATTTTTCGCTGTTCGTGGCCGGAATGCTTCTGTGTGACCTCGATCTGCTCGCCCGCAACAACAACCTACCATGCTTCATTGCAAATATGGAGCCACATAAACGAACACTCGCCTACATAGCTCTAGGCATCAGTATCTACCTAGGCGGAGTCCCCTCACAAAGTGCCGATATCCAAGTCCTTAGGTCGTCCCCAGGGTGGTACCTCCTATCCTTTTTCAAACCCCAGGCCGTCTTCGACTACAAATGGTTCTTCCTGTTTTGGGCCGCCACGTTAATCGTCGCGGCAATCCCACGCATACCAGCATTGAAATCCTTTTTCGAGACGCCCTTCAATCAGTATCTCGGTCGCATATCGTTCTCTTTCTACCTTGTGCACGGACCAATCCTTTGGACGCTTGGTGACCGAATATACGCCGCAACTGGTTGGTTGAGAGAATCTCATGCCGTCAATTTACCGGGATGGATTAACCGATTTCCACTGCCAAAAGTCGGTCCACTTGGCCTGGAATTGGCATTTCTCCTCCCACAGTTGATTCTTCTGCCGCTTACACTGTGGCTGGCAGAAATCGCAACAAGACTCATAGACGAGCCTAGCGTGAAATTGGCCCAGTGGGCATACTCTAAAACTCAACCCTCATCATCACAGCAATCGTGTACTGTCAATGTAAAATTATGAACCCGCATCGAATTTAGCGTCTTCCTCTTTCGGGTTTTATTATTAGGGCTGTTTTCTGGTATAGTTCTTTGTTTTAGCAGGGGATGGGGGACATACTTTTCTAGTTTTCTTTGTGCACTCAAATAAAAAAAGTAATTAGTTACACAGTAACTAGCTTACTAAAATTAACCAACAATAAAGAAATAAGTTTTGGGAGATGGAGAAACTGCAATTTAGCGATTCTTGCGGGTTCACTGACTTTTGATTCAAGAACTGTACCCCACCTTTGGGTCGCTGAAGCTCTTCAAAGCTTGAAAGTATCCTCTTTGCGGAGCAGAACGCCGTAAGGTCTCGATAATTCAATTGTTGGTTTGCTGTTACCGAGGTAGTAGAAGCAACAAGCACTTGTGGGGTACACATGCATCCAAAAAGGGATCTTCTGGGACCTGCCACTGGCTGCCAGGCACAGGTTACCGCTAGGTTTGTTCTTCGTGACCTGGTCGTTCCGTGCATCCATCTCGGGGGTATCCCTGCTAACTAGCAGGAACCGCACATGTTACCGTATGTGATTCAACCGGGACAGGGCAGGCGAATAAAATACGGCCATGGATTGGAGGCTAATAAGTATTGTCACAATCACTTTGGGCAAAAATGTTGAGGGCATAAACCATCGGTCGTGCGAAAAGCCTTGAGCACGAATAAAAGACGCTTGTAATATTACATCTAATGGGGAAACGAAAAATGCACGGGAATGAGGGAAATATTACACGAGGGGGAACAAATGCCTAGATCCAATAAGATGTTGCTGGCCACAACATCAATCCCCGCAGTCTTGAAATCCTCAATTCCAAATCCAATGATCAGCACGTTATCGATGTAGCCATGATATCTGTGACCATGTGTTTCCAGCTCATGGATGCCACGTAGAACATTTCTGTCTGATTTCATGACTGCAAGGCTGCCGGTCTGAGCCAGGTTGACTTCTTTCCCTACCCTCATGGATGATCCACATAGGCTTGGACGAAATCCCGTGAATGGCAAACAGCGACGACTGCTGGAAGGGCATGGCGTAGGGCTCATAGGTGCTGTGAAACGAGCAGAACTTCTGGTGCTGGAAGATGGTGAAAATGAAAGTATTGGAATCGTTGGGTTGGCAGAGAGGGGTCTGCCCGGTTGCAGAGGGTGATAGATAAGGAATTTGTGGCCTGGCGGATGGATTCAAACTCCAGCACAACTTTTGGGCATATATTTCTCCATACATTGCTGATCATTGAGATCTGATAGAGATGGTAGATCTTGCGAGACCGTGCCACTCTAGTCCAGTTTCGCAAACACACGTTGTGATGTGACGTCGTAGTGAAATGTACATTTGCCCGTCACTGTTCCAGAAGACGAACCAATTCTTTTCAATTGCGCCGTATGGTTTTAATCTGTGAAGCTCTGTTGCGTTTCTGAACCCGTTCCGCGCAAAAGGCTCGCACTTCCAATCCACCAGCATTCTGAAGTACTGCATCCACTGTCCAAAGCAGTATATTCCGAGTTCGATCCATATACGGCGTAAGGCGCTCTGGCCATCGCTGTTTGCCTTTTCAAGCAATGCATTCTCTCTTTGAGTCGCTGCTAGCTCTAGCAAAGCTATCAGGAGCCCAGGACGAAAGAGCTCAATCGTCAGGAAGAGGGTAAGCAGTGTGCCAAGAGTGGACACGGTGCGCTCGAGGTTTTACGCAGCATCGCCTTCGAGGCAATATGTGTGTACGAACAGTACAACAGTAGCCAGAATGAAGCTCCTCATCCGGGACATGGTCGTGCAAAAGCCATTGAAGATGGGTATAATGTGATTTGTACATTGACATCGCAAAGGGAGAACAGCGGGCTGCATGTCAAGTATTTCTGACTTCCTCACCACTGCCCCTTGAGGGACACAGAAATGCGGGATTGGGACAGGTTTTAGGTTATCCCCGCTGGAGAAATGAAATGAGACAACCTTGATCGGCTGGGCCGTCTGCAGTTGAGCCTTGTGTTGCAACCGGGATGACAACAATGATGACACATGAAACGGTGCACGATGGTATTGCCGTACTTGAACAGCACGTAATTCGGAGGAAATAATGGTATGGCCGTTGGTATCAGTATAACTAACTAGTTAGTTATCAGGGTATTATTAGGTAAGATACACCAACCAGTCCTAATGCGAAGAGAGCAGATGAATGAGGTCCCTGATGGCCATTGACGCGATTCAGATTAATTCCAAGCTCAAAGGAAATAAATAAAAAGAAAAGGATTAAAGCACAAGCTTTGAACGAGGAGGCCAATCCCAATGCTTCCAGAGACACGTTGCAGCGTCGGACCTAGGGTTATAGGCTAGCTATGGTCTCCCTAAAGCTGCCCTTCAGGCTGTCATTGGAGACAGACGGAAGAATCAGGTAAACAGATCGAGGAAGAAATAGAATATTGCGATGAACGCACCTACGGAGTGGTTTCCATGCTGTTTTCCCTTCACCGTCATTGAATTTAATTCAGCATCAACCAACCGACCTTGAAAGTTTTCAAAGTTGGGACCCAGTCTTCTTCTGGAAACCTTATCAGCACGTCACCAATCACATTAGTTACACAGGTTTGTGTATCCTTTTCCTCGTAGTTCTTTTTATTAATCGCCATCTTTTTTTGAACTGTTGCTCCCCTCAAACTGAATCAAGGGCCAGATATTTTGCTATATTTATCTCAACTGCCAAGTAGTCCGCACACTGGTGGATCAGTGCAACTAACTATCCAATTCAGGTCTTAATGTGCATTAATTTTAACCTCACCAAGTCTCGCCTCCTTCCATGACTCAATCAGCCTTCTCACTTCTTTACATTGTTGAATATATGGTATCGACATTGCAGCCATGTTTGTACTTGCTGATAGTGTCCCGCTGACAGCCCGTGAAGTGGCCTCTGGGGTGCTGGGCTCAATTTGTCTGGCCTGCTGGATCTTCCTACTGGTATGTAAACTGGCACCCCTATCAACGCTTTTATATTACCCCATAAAACGGCATCCAGCTTCAATTAGGAAGGGAAGAAACAGAAAGAGTATAGATAAATAAAACCAACACAACAACCAGGTCCCCCAACTGATCGAAAACTACAAAAACGGTTCCGCAGACGCCGTCTCCCTCGCCTTCCTCTTTGTCTGGTTCATCGGGGACATCACAAACCTGATCGGGTCCCTCTGGGCACAACTCGTTCCGGTCATCATCACCATCGCCATCTACTTCTGTCTCGCAGACGGTATCCTCATAAGCCAATGCATCTACTACGACCACCAAAACGCGCGCAGGGATGCCGCCGCCGCCGCCCATGAACGCAGCGGTTCCGATTATCGCACCCTATCCAGCGCAACGGCGGGCTCAGTATCAGAAGCGGAGTCCGATGCGATGGACCCCACCACCCCGCTCCTGTCGCGCCGCATGAGTCAGAATCTGGCCGCTTCAGCTTTGGTTGCTGTGGCGTCGAGGAGGAGGAGGAGGAGGTCGACGGAGTCCATGCGGAGACGGCGCTCGAGCCACTTACAGGATTCGTTGACCAAGATTCTTGAGGAGACGGAGCCCAGGAATGCGTGGGCGAGGAACTCATTGAGTGTTATTGGTATCTGTGCTGCTGGGGCGGCTGGATGGTTGATTGCCTGGCAGTCTGGCGTATGGCATCCGACATCTGACGAACATTCGGGACAAACGGTGCTTGGGGCACAGGTGATGGGGTATGTGAGTGCGGTTTGTTATCTTGGGTAAGTCGCTTTATGGGAGAAGAACCTCTCAATCATCATGGGGTCATTTGTTTTCTTGATTATTTGTTTGAAGTATTGCTAAGGGGACCTGAAACGAATGAACAGTGCGAGGATACCTCAGATCATCAAGAATTTCCGGGAGAAATCATGCGAAGGTATGTCCAGAGCAATTACACTGCGTTACCAATATCTCTATCTATCGCTTTGTGTTGAGCAGACAAAGCTGATCGCTATCGCAAAAGGCCTTTCTCTACTGTTCTTCATATTATCTCTCGTGGGAAATTTATCATATGGCGCTGGGGTAAATTTTTCATCATTCCAATTCCCGACTCACCACCGTGACGAAGATTATGAACTAACAAAGTATTTGTTTTGCCCTGTTTTCAGATATTATTTCACTCTACCGAAAAACGTTACCTTCTTAAAAATCTTCCATGGCTCATCGGGTCCCTCGGGACCATGTTTGAAGATGCCCTGATTTTTGCACAGTTCCGGATATATTCAGTACAGGATAACGCTTCTTCGGCTATAATATGAATGTCCCATTGTATTCCTTGTCTTCTTTTTATATTACCTCCTATATTATTACCATGGAGGCGTATTTTTATCGATTCAACAAAAGTTACCAGTCGTGCGGGACATTGGGAGAAAAGATTCGTTTCACTTTTTTTTTTAATGTATTGACCAAGATGAGTATCATGGCGATGACCACATGACATGAAAATCTACCTTGAAGGTATATCATATTGATATAATGAAAGGGAAAAAACGAAAGAAAATCAAGAGAAAATCAACCACCGATTATCATCCGGTCCAGCCCTCATTGAAATTCAATCCTCTTAATGAACTTAGTATGGGGGAGGGTGTGCTCGCAAAAGCACCGCAGCTGTGCATCCCTTTCGTTACCTGTTTTTCTCTCCTTTATCGCAATATGAGTACACGCCAAAGGCGGTCGGGGAAAGGGTGGAAGGAACCAATACGCCAAGAAAAAGAAGATTCGTTTAGTCGAAAAGACCGAAGCCCATGTCCTCGTCGGACTCCTCCTTCTCTGCAAAAATTGGAAAAAGAATATATTAGCCAAATCTGCACTCCGGTAGCACGGTAGCATAAGAAGAGCTCATTGGCAAAGACCTACCTTCTTCCTTCTCCTCAACTTTCTCCTCCGCAGCCGCGGCGCCGCCAGCAGCAGCTGGGGCGTTTCCGGCGGCAGCGGGAGCGGCACCACCGCCCGATCCAACGTTGAGCAGAATATCCTTCACATTCTTGCCTTGCAGAGCCTTTTTAACGAAAAGTTTCACCAGGTTAGCCTTAGTTTTGTTCACCAACACATTCCTTTAATTTCCACCCGATTAAATAGAATACTGCAGAGAGAAATCGGAATTTTGCGCCATCGGACATATCGTGTAGACTGGGGTAGTATGGTATGTACCTTGGCGAACAGAGAGGACCAGATGGGCTCAACATCCTCGACATTCGCGGCTTTCAGAATGGATTGGAGCTTCTCGGACTATATATGCCAACCCAAAAAGCAAAACCGAGTCAGCACGCATCATATTGTTTTCAAGATAACTCATCCTCCACATTGTATCCAAAATGAGTTTTCCCTTCTTCCTCTCTCATCCCCCCCGCTTCCCCCTCTATTCCATATCTATATCCGGATAAAAACACGTACCGTGATGTCAACGCCGTCATCGGCCAGGATCAGGGCGGCATAGGAAACAGCGAGCTCGGAGTTAGACATTGTGAGAGGATGTCCCGGAGCAGACGGATACTGTGTTGGAGGGAGAATGTGAAGTTGAAGGGAATTGATTCCTTATCGTTGGCGTCGATGTCGTTCGTTTGCCCGAACGGTTGTGTGGAAAATAAACCCTCGCTTAACAAGGCTGATATGGCCCGTGCACTCGGCGACATCACGTGGTTTTTATTCAGCCCAATCAGGAAGGTGGAACATAGTTATTGGCCCAACGTTAAGAAGGTAATGATACAACATGCATACTGTCCATACAACGATAAACATCAACATCAACGTCCAAGGTTAACCATTTTACTTACCACTATTCTCTGTCTTTCATTTTTGCTATACGGACCCAATCATTCGTGCTTGAGAGGGAGCTTGTGCCAACTCTGGAATACACTATCAAACCAATTGGCAGATATGGCTGATTCGCCCGCCGTATCAGTCCCTCTCGACCCGAGAGAACAGCCTATCTTGGACCGGCTCTTGGTGATTCGTGACGCCCTCTTGCTTCTTAAACAGGATAAATCGAGATATATCAAGTCTCAAGACGTGCTGTACTATCATGACCAGGTGGTTGAGCAAGTCCAGAAGTTGAACAGCATCCGTTCGGACAATCAACTACAACATAATCGAGGTTCGCCCCATCCCCATATTCCAACTTTTGGCCCTTGCACAGGTGCAGTTAGTCTGATATGTGCTCATGTCGCAGTTGATAATGTTCTGGATGATTGCTTCCAGCTGATTTCTTTGCTATTTCTTACTGTCGGGAGGAATAATGAAGCGCCTGCAGCGTAAGTATCACTTTTTATACGTGGGCTTCTATTCGGTATTGTACGTTGCATTGCATCCAGACGAATGCTGATATATTTGATCAAACCCACAGATATGCAATGGCTTCCACAATTAAGGTAATACCAAGTCGACGACTTTCGATAATGCATTCTCGTGTTTTTCCTCATTATCTAACTAATATTGTTCCTCCAGCGCCTGCTCGACCATCTAAAGGAGGCTGCATTTTTCAGCCAGAAGGACTTGGATTCGATCTCTAAAACTCTAGATACAATGCAAGGAAACATTGATCGAGGGAAAGATACATATTCAACTGATCTATTGAAGCTTTTGGGAGTTCGTTTGGAAACCTGTCGAAAACTGTTAGGAGAGCTACAACATGACCTTTCCTTCTTGTCGCCCGAACTCGTCCCGACCCACGAGATTTTGGTATCCATTTTAAGATCCACATCTGCCGCAAACACGCGGTCAAAGGTAGCTCTTTTTCCATGTCTGTCAGACATAATAAAAGTGCGGAGGGCTAAGCTGATTTTGGATGGCCGTGAAATATAATAGTTTTCGTATTCTGAGGTCTTGACCTTCCAGGAACAACTGAAGGGTATGAAAGCCTCTATGAAAGATGGTAACTTTTTGGGCCCTGGTGACTCCATCCCTGCCGGCCAAGGGATTGTTAAAGTTTTGTTGGAAAGATGTCTGAATTGGGTAGAAATTGTTCTCGAAAGGTATGATAATAACGGCGCTCAAACATGCCTTGCGGCATGGAATCAGATTTAACCGAATTACGTTTTCTAGACAGGGTCGAATCGACGAACGATTCAAGGAGTCTTACGATAAGCTCCTGGAGATCCGAAACCAGCTCGACCGCCTTGCTATGACCCAGGCCTGGTCACTACGGGAGACCGATTTATTTATGTACCAAAGAAAATTAAATATGTTTGACGAATCTCGAGTTGATGGGAACTTTCTTGACAAGGATGGGAAGCCGGCTGATATTCATGCTCAAAGGGTAGGCCTCCAACCGCAACCTACTGACAAACTTTGGGAGTTGAGGAAATTTGACCGCTGTTTTTCTCGCTACATAGACGCTTTTGTATCTGATTCGGCGGAGCTATGCGTTAATATACGGCTTGCTTATTTCGTCTGAGCCTGTTTCAGAAGCTCTCTTACCAATTTATAATCAACTTCAAACTCTGAGGAAATGCCTTCTTGAAGTTAAGGACTCAGGGGGGGTTTCTAATTCAAGAGAGCTTTACCCATACAGTATGAAGGTTAGTTGCTCTCCCTTCCTATTTATGGAAATTGATGGGTGGTATTTGTCCAAGTTGCTAACTATTTGCCAGCTAAACTCCATCGACAACATGAGAATCGATGGAAAATTCTATGTGGGGAATGATCTACCTGAAGGTCAAGGTAGCGTTAACGAACTTCTTGCACAATGCTATGATCTCTGCTATGAATTGAGAGCCCAATCGGAAGAAACTGCCGAAAGCTAATGAGATGAAAAACCATTAACGTTGAAACCCGGTTTGATATTTAAAAGGTTCCTTTTGGGGGGTCATATTTCGTCCCATTTTGTTTCATTATAGCATATCTGCTCTGGCGGTTTATTCCACGTCATGGGAACTACCCAGGTTTCTGTTTTTTTGATATGGTACTTTCGCATTCAGTCATTTAATGTACAATGGAATTGTATCATAATACATTCCTGGTATATAATAGTCAATCATATCTGATCGTCTTGTTATGCATGGGCATCTTCGATTCCTCTGTGGAGCAATCCTAAGTTATGTATTTCTCCATAGAATTTCTGTGACAGGTTGCCTTGGGCCGAAACTGGGATTAGTCAGCTTGCTCAATTGCCATCCAGCCAATCAACGTCAACTTAAACCCTTTACTCGCTCGTTCCTCGGTGCAGTATTATAGACTCCTGAGTCCCCCGTCCTTAACCCCAAAACGATGCTCAAGGAAGAAACAATTACATTTCCTGCCAAAAATTGTTGCGGATATCTCCAAGATGATGCGGCAGTGTTTCTGCGGCAGGGCATCTATCTCGCACAAGGTCAGTTCTCATGCCGAAAATCCAGATCCCTCAGTATTTTAAACCGACATCCTTCCATAATCCAGGTTGCACAAAGCCGGCCATTAAGAGCTCGCGGCCTCGCGACAGAGGCCCAGCCTTATGCTCCCTCACGCTCCCCACCGTATCCCAAAATTCTAAACAATTTCCGTGAGGTACGACGGGTTCTGGGAACTGAGCGATCTCTCACCCTGGCCGAAAAGATCCTCTATTCGCATCTCGATAATGTTGAAGAGTCTCTTCTCTCCGACACCCTGAATGGCAAAAACATCCGTGGCCAAGCCAATCTGAAGCTGAAACCAGATCGCGTTGCAATGCAGGACGCTTCGGCGCAAATGGCTCTGCTGCAATTTATGTCCTGCGGACTCCCCTCGACTGCTGTCCCGGCTAGTATCCACTGTGACCACATGATTGTCGGTGAGAAGGGAGCTGATGTTGATCTCCCCTCATCAATCCAGGGGAATAAAGAAGTGTTTGATTTCTTGGAATCTGCTGCGAAAAAATATGGCATTGAGTTTTGGCCGCCTGGCGCGGGGATTATACATCAGACTGTTTTGGAGAACTATGCCGCTCCTGGCCTGATGATGTTGGGTACGGACAGTCATACGCCGAATGGGGGTGGATTGGGTACCATTGCCATTGGAGTTGGTGGCGCTGATGCTGTTGATGCGCTGGTTGATGCGCCTTGGGAACTGAAGGCGCCAAAGGTGCTTGGTGTTAGGCTCGAGGGCAAGCTGTCTGGTTGGACGGCGCCGAAAGATATTATTTTGCATCTTGCTGGGAAGTTGACGGTTCGTGGTGGCACTGGGTTCATTATTGAGTACCACGGTCCTGGCGTTGAGACGTTAAGTTGCACTGGAATGGCCACCATTTGCAACATGGGTGCTGAAGTTGGAGCAACCACATCGCTTTTCCCCTTTTCACCAAGCATGGTGCCATATCTACGGGCTACTAATCGAGGCGATATCGCTGAAGCTGCAACGGTTATTGCATCGTCTGGACCTCAGAACTTGCTACGTGCAGATACTGGCGCGGAATATGATCAGCATATTACCATTAATCTCTCTACCCTCGAGCCACACATTAATGGCCCGTTTACTCCTGATTATTCCATACCTCTTTCCTCATTTGCAAAGACAGTTAGGGAGAACAAATGGCCTGAAACTTTTGGTGCTGGTCTTATTGGGAGCTGCACAAACAGCTCCTATGAGGACATGACTCGTGCAGAGGATCTTGTCAAGCAGGCATCCGAAGCCGGCCTGAAACCGAAAGCGGATTTTTTCATCACTCCAGGAAGTGAGCAGATTAGAGCTACCTTGGAACGCGACCAGACGCTGAACACTTTCTCGTCTGCTGGGGGAACCGTCTTGGCTAACGCCTGTGGGCCTTGTATCGGTCAATGGAAACGGACAGACGGCGTGGACAAGGGCAAAAGCAACGCAATCCTAACATCATACAACCGTAACTTCCGCGGGCGCAATGACGGAAACCCTGCAACAATGAACTTCCTTGCATCCCCCGAAATTGTCACCGCAATGTCATATGCAGGTCGCACCACTTTCAACCCCATGACCGACTCCATCCCCACCCCGAGCGGAAAACCTTTCCGGTTCCACCCACCAACCGGCTTCGACCTTCCCAAGTTAGGCTTTGAGTCAGGGAACCCAGCCTTCCAGCCAACCATCGCACCCCCATCTCCCACCTCACCCGTCGTGATCTCCCCAACCTCAGACCGCCTCGCCATCCTCGAACCCTTCCAGCCCTTCCCACCAAACAACCTCACCTCTCTCCGTGTTCTCTACAAAGTTAAAGGACAATGTACGACCGATACCATCTCCGCCGCCGGCCCGTGGCTCAAATACAAAGGCCACCTCCCCAACATTTGCGCAAACACGCTGATTGGTGCCATCAACGCCGCCACAGGCGAGACAAACGTTGCTTACGATCTCGATGGCACAACCTACTCTATCCCAGACCTCGCAGCCAAATGGAAGGCAGCGGGAACCGAATGGCTCGTTGTCGCAGAAGATAACTACGGCGAGGGCAGTGCTCGTGAACATGCTGCTCTGCAACCGCGGTACCTGGGTGGCCGTATCATTGCCGCTAAGAGCTTTGCGCGCATCCACGAAACGAATTTGAAGAAGCAAGGTGTTGTGCCATTGACGTTTAAGGATAAGGCTGATTATGATCGGATTGATGCCTGCGATTCGGTTGATACGGTGGGTCTGTATGAGGTGTTAACGAGTGGGGGCCAGGGGGTGGTGAGGTTGAGAGTAACTAAGAAGGATGGAAGTGAGGTTTTTGAGATACCAATGAAGCATACGCTGAGCAAGGATCAGTGTGGTTTTATACTTGCTGGGAGTGCGTTAAATTTATTGGCGAAGAAGGCCAATAAATCAAAGTGATTGAGTGGGCGAGTTGCGCTGGGTTTAAATAAGGAAGTTCAGAGAGGATTGGAAAAGCGTTAAAGGGGATTTCAACAATATTTTTCTGGACTAAAGTTTTCATCGAGTGGTCAGATTCCTTACTGTGTCGGGACATTGTCTTCTTATTTCTATCTGTCTTGGGCGATGGAATTTCTTTATAATTTTTATTTTTATTTTTTTATTTTTCATTCACCTCCTTCGGCTGCGTTTCCTTACAATATCCCCCAATTTTTGAAAGTTACAAAGATTTCCAATAGATCTGTATGCATGATATCATTACCACCTATTATCTATCAAAGCCTATTATGCACTGTCATACCCCGTATTTCACGTGTTGGGCGGCCTGCAACCAGCGGAACCCCTTCATATACAGATACATGCTGTTCTTCTGACTCGTTGCGGTGAGCGAGAATGTCTCTTCGGTAAGGAATCACATGTAGATCTTTGGACAGATAAGACGTAATGGATTAATATTTTACTATCTGAGGTTAAAGGATGGTTCTGTAACAAGGACGCAGTGCAAGAGAAGAGAGGAAGAAAGAAACTATCTACATAACTCAAAGTGTGTTGTTGTTCCCCTTACCATATGTGTTGTGGCATGGTTAATCTCTGAAAGGCGTATAACTTTACACTCATCACATGCGGTGGGGCAGCTGCGCATGGCTCAACTGTTGGGATGGTTGATTCTGGGAGGAAACGGACTGACTAATATACGCGTATATCACGTGAGGTGGGGAGGGCTACCCGAGGAGCAAGATCACATGATATTTCCACGTGATACCGTGACAGCCCGTCATTCGGCTGTCAACAAACGTCGCCCTCCGACTACACGCCCCTCCAGTAATATATGACCCCGCGCAAAGTAAACAAAAGGAGTGGAAGGCAGTAATCTGTATTCCATCAACCAGCTTCCTCTGACTGACAATCACCAGTGAGGTGCAACTCCAACATTTTTGCCGAAGAAAATGCACACCTCCAACCTGGCCCGCCAAACCCGTCATCGCCTCTAGCTAGTTGCACCCTTAGGAATGCTGTACGATATCCTCTATGGCCGAGCGGAGCGGGTATGCGTTGTGAAAAGCAAGAACGTGAACTTACGAGCCCGGGCATATTCCCAGAGGGCGAAATCAAGAGGAAAACGAGCATTGATGTTCCTCGAGTCGCCCAAAACTGTTGGTCCAGAGGCATGATTATCGTCACTTTGATCATACATATGACAACAGCCAATTCATATCAAGATTCATAACCCCACCAGTCTCACTGCAACTGTGTTTGCTTGAACCTAAACAACAGCACCCTGAACCTGAGCTTTCTTCTTACTATTGCTTGAAGCGGCCACGAGTAGACAAGGATAAGCTCATCGAGCACTGGGTTAGCAAATACGAGTGGCCCAAAGGCCCTTCAGAAGTTGACGCCATGGGCGACTTGCTTGTACGACAGGGTGAAGTCGAATGCTTGCTCAAATAGGCCGAGCGAAACAAGTTCACGAGAAGTCAAGAGTAGATCTTGCACCGACAACAACTATGAGAGGTATTTCCTGAGTCCAAAGGAATCCTCCGGGATGACCACAAGAATGGAATATTGTGACAGTAAAAGTTTCTGTCAACGACTTCTCAAGAAAGACTCGGAGACTTCTTCTAGTGGATTGGTGAGGATCTATGGTCACTATCCTTTGATTGATGGAGACAAGACCACCTATCACCGTCACCCCATTCATGAGTTTAGTTTCGCAGCGCTGGATGGCAAGGAGAAATGGACATCCTATAAGTTTGGGATGAGCGTGTATGGCGACTGGGCCACTTCTCATTTCAAAAAACTGTGCTCAGCTGTTGATGAGCTACCATTCAACGCCAACATCAAAACAAAAATCTGGATTATGGATTTTAGCTAGGGTAACTAATCTATATATTAATCTAAACCTTTCTCTCATATTTTCCTTCTTGAGCTTAGAAAAACGAAAACGAAAACCGGACTGACAATCCAGGAGTTAACTGTGTAGCGGAAGAATTATCTATCCGTAAATTGAGAGGTTTCGAGGGCTATGGGGAGAAGTAGATAGAACATGACTAGTGAGAGTTTTGCGGGACTGAGTTGGGATAATTTTGAAACTGTATGTCGAAGGAAGCTTTGTGAAGGAAGCTCTGTGTAGCTTAGAAGCCCGTAGGAAAAGTGTGAATACGAGTTCTCTGAAAAGATACGAACAAGTCATAAGTACTGAAGCGTATATTTCAATGAGCTCTATTTATATAAAATAAACCTTGATTGTTGTCGTTGGCCATTGTGTCATGGGGGGAGAAACACATTTCAAAATAAAAAGCTAAGAAACAAAATCACTCGATGCTGTATGGGGTGTGTAAAAGTGATGAAACAAGTGAAAAAAAAGAAAACAAAGAAAGGAAGAAAGAAAGAAAGAAAGAAAAGAAAAGAAACGCAAAACAAGGGGGGGTGGAAAAAGAGGAAATTGGACATGGGATGGACATGATGATTTGTGAACAGAGGGAGGGAAAGGGAATAAAATTGAAAACCGGACGCTAGAACCACCTGGGACATCGAACGGGAAGAGCAGGGATTTAATTATGGATGGGCTAATTATTGGAAAAAGCTTCGCACGGCCATTTGGTTCTTGGGCTCAACATTTGCAAAGATCTGATCTACAGCGACTCCTGTTGCCGTTGCGAGCTGTTTCGATGAGTTTGCGACACGAGCAGCAGTGCTACCCTGCAGTGTTTCCGCTTCGAGAGCTTGCACGATATAGGTGAATGCCTTTGTGGCATTGTTGAAGACAGTGGGATTTCGTCTATTGGGGTTGTTGAGCTTTGGTTAGACAAGCTACGTGATTACATTTTGAGCATTAAAAAGACGGGAAAGGAATGGATGGATTGAACATACTGGTCAATAAGCTGCGCAAGAAAAGAATAAGCATACGGCGCCGCCTCTTCATCATTGATGATGGGTAGCGTATTAAACCAATTCTCCACAACCTCCTGCGGATTCTGTACTTTGCTAGAATTATAATGCAAAATCTTTGCGACGCTAGCAGATGCATTCTCAGTAGCGAAAATGTGTTCTTGCGTCCTCGCCTTCGCATGCTGCGTCGCCTGGAACAGTGTCGGGATGCTCGCGGCAACAAACTCGCTCCAGGCAAGCCCGCCCTTTTGCGCAGCAATTCCGACTCCGTAACATGCCGCTTGTCTGTTTGCGGCGTTGTCGTCCCGTATGCCATTGATAAGAGGCTGGATCATATGATCTTTGTAATTCCACGATTGCTCGCCGCAGAATTCTAGTACGTCGTCCATGATGCAGATTGCCCATTGTCGTTGTGTGGGGTCTTCATTTGTAACGAAGGCATCGTAGAAGGAGAGTAGCTGTTCCCATGCTGGTAAGAAAGCGGGGCCATGGTTCTTGAAAATGATGTGGAAGGCTTTGTTCATGTCGCTCAGTAGGTTCTGATCTTCTTCGACTTCGATATCGTATGATATGGCATCGTCATCCGCCTCGTCCAGTTCTGCTTTTTCTTCCGCACGTCGCTTCACACGAGCTTGGTAGTCCTCCAACGACGACTTGGCAGACGCAATGAATGCTTGCATATGGGCTTGCGTGAGACTGTTCTTTCCGGCGACCTCGACTGATTCGTAGAAGCATTGGAACATCTCCGCCAATGTATCAATGGCTGGCTCTGCGCTTAGAACCTCGATGAGTTTTTCGGCAGTCTTGGACCACAGCTGCATGAACTCGGGAGACTGATCACCGTGAGACTTTTTATATGCATTTAACAGTTGGGGAATTAAGTGTGCAGATGACACCCGGACAGGGTCGTGGAAGAAGAATGCGAGACCGGGGATAGCAATCTTTTCCATCGTCTCAATGACATATGGCTCAAAAGCAGCCGCGAGGACTTGAGCATATATCGTAATTAACTCGATAGCGGTATTCTTATCTTCAAGCACACTGGTTCGAATTCCAATAATTTTGTCCTTCAGCGGAACAAGCTCCCAACCAACATCCTGCTCAGCTTGTCTAAGCTGCTCTTCGTCATCAAGAATCTGGACATCAGCCTTGGCACTGGCAACCTGGAGGAGCGGCGGCATGACTCCGGGGAGATATGGAACGAAATCCTGGTTGAGAACTCGACACATACGGCCCCAGCAGTGGAGAAGATACGATGATTGAGGATCATCTGCATCCGTGATACTCTGCTGAATATTGCCAAGAAGCTGCACCAGAGTCAATGCATCTTGACCCATTTTCTCTTTTCCGACAGCCAGCGCAATCAGAGTGGCACACTCCATAGCCTTCGCTCTCAAAATCCGGAACTCTTTCGATTGCTCTTCATTCAAAACATTAAATAACAACGGCATAAGTGTGTCATAAAACTGCCCGAAAGCAGCCTCTGCAGAATCAGCAATCGTAGCAATTGTAGAAAGCGCCTGCTCCTGCACAAATCGTTTGGAACTTCGAAGAAGCTGCAGAAGACGTTTCAGAAGCTCTTCGAGATACGGTTCCAGAATCTCCTTCTCAGCCTCTTCACAGAAGTTAACCAACGCCGCAGCAGCATGGGCCTGGACGCGGGGTTCCGCCGAATCCAACACCGGAAGGATATTTCCGAGGACGATGGAATGATATTTCACTTGCATGGTAGGTGCGAAATCCGTACTCATCTGACCAAGGGCGTTGCAGCCGGCGAAGCGGACTCTTGGGTGAGGGTCTTGAAGAGCTGGCACGACAAGAGCAAGAACCTGATCCAACTCACCCTCCATGAGGTCTCTGCAACCTTCAGATATAGCAGAGATGGCCATAAGAGCTGCATGTCGATCGCGCCAAGAGGTTGAGGACATCATTCGGGGTACCCAGACGAAAGTTGCTGGTAAAATTACCTGGCCACCGAGCTTATTGGCGAGACGGTCCATGCATTGCTCGCCAGCAACGTGGTTTTTGTCGCTTTCCTCGAGGTCAAGCTAATTAAATGTTAATCTCTTCATATATAGCAGTCGCCGTTGCCGAGATATAGCATGCACTTACATCTTCAGACTGAGTCCATTCAGCTGCATCCTCATCATCCAAACCAACATCGGTCATCAAGCTTAGACACTGTGTAACCATCTCTCCAGCATACGTCGGGTCACTTTTGCACATCTTGGGAGCAAAATCGGCAAAAGTAGCCATTAACTCTAAACCATTCTGTCTCACTTGATCAGACAATTCCTTATCGCCAATAACACTAATGCTGAACTTGACCAAGTTGTTGAAAAGCGCCTTGAACATCTTAGGGCACACTTCTGCCAGCTCAATTAAAGCAATGAAAGCCTTGGAAAGTTCCTCACTCTCATCAGCTTCTTTCAAGGGTGGTAGGATGTTGAGGACATCCGGGACTAAGGAGAAGTATTTGCTCTGGCTCTTTTTAGGGATGGAGCGGAAAAAGGAAGAAAATGCTTCCATTGCGGATATTCGGACCTAATTATTTTGAGAACAATCATTAGTGAATACATCCATGTTTGTTTCTTTTTCAGATGTAGTATAAACTGTACAGAAATATTCTCATCTCTGAAACCCTTCGAAAAAACACCTAGAACCATATCCTCATGTTGTTTCTCAATAATACCCGGTGTCGTTGAGAATATACGGAATGCGGAATCGCGCACACCCGGATCATTAGACTGGCTGGCCTGGAAGAGTACTCCCAGAAGCTCAGGCCATTGTTCACCTAGCATTCCCAAAGAAGAGAAAATAATCAGTCTGAGTAAGAATTAAGCATGTATCTGGCCAGCTATACACGGTTTTCAACATGGCATTGTTTCTCTTGTTTTCTTAATTCTTTGTTTCCACGTACCATTTTCGGCATACTGTCCCGCAATTTCAGCTACAGCGTCACCAATCTTATTCCGCACATGGGCTACGCCCTCACTGCTTAGCGACTCCAACAGTTTTTGTCGAATAGCCATTCTCTGTTCATGTGAAAGAGTGAAGAACAGCTCCTTAGATTCCGTGGAATTGGCCAATTTCATAGACCGCGTCGATATCCGACGGAAGAGAACGGAGGCAAACGATCGCGTCTAAAATAAGTTAAAATAAATTAGTATCCATAGGTTATGAGAAGAGAAATATTCACCCCACGCAGAGTATAAAGAAGAAAGAAAAATGAAGAGAAATCATCAAGAAAACCCAAAAAGAAATCAATAAGGTCAAAAGGAAGTGAGAGTGTTTTGTAAACGTACACCAGCATCTTCCGCTCCCTGTAGTTGTTCCGCCAGCCCTATGAGCAAGACATCTGGACGACCCTGGACCCATTCATTATTCAACTGTTCCTCAGCCTGAGTTCGAACGATATTGTCTGCGGAAGCGAGAGCAAGCAAGAGTTGCGCGAGGGCAACGTGGACCTCCTGTGGCAATAGCGACATTATCTGTTTATCCTTGTATGTTTGTATTTCCGTGTCGTAGCGTGGGAGGGTGGGATGGTTGTATTGGTGGAATCTACCCCCTTTTCAAAGACCAAAAATAACAAAAAAATAGAGTCGCGCCAGAGGAGAAGAGAGAAGGGAAGTGGAGGATCACAGAGAAGGAAAGACACAAAGAAAGAAAGAAACAAAAAAAAAAAGAGAGAGATCAAATAGAGTTCCCTTGATCCTCGACGTTATACAGATTAAAGTGGGAAACGCAGACACGAAATTCTTTGTGGGGCACAAAGAGCAGAAGATTGGGCGAGCGCGGGTCAAGATGATTGAGTGAGCAGAGCATAGATCAAGAACACTGTCTGGCAGGAGGTTTTCGGAGAGAGGAGAGGTGCTGAACGATGAAGGAATCAGGTATAGACAGAAGAGAAGAGGGAGTGAGAGAAGAGACGCGAAGGGGAGGGGGTAGGAGAGAGGTGAGGATCTGTAAAGGTCGAAGTTGTTGGCGTCGAAGTGGTCGAAGGCCGAAGTTTACAGTTTTGAAAGTGGCATGCAAGAGGGCTAGCACAGATCCGGTTTAGGGTGAGAGGTGCCCTGCGCTAGTCCAGAATAAGCTAGGATTGACATGGATCGGCCTGAAAGGGCAAAAATAAAAAACATTGGACTTTATTTTCCGTCAAGTAACGTGGGGGGGAATGTCTTGTTCGTTGAGGTCTATCTATTGCTAAACTAATGGTAGCGTTTGTAGTCAAAAAGAAAACAGTCTACTATAGCTGCTGTATATGTATTAATAACGTGTTGAAAAACCACCCGGCGACTCGCGAATTGCTGGAACGGCCGTTATATCCCACATGTTAGAGGTACGGAACAAACCCATGCAGGTATGGGAGGAGCTGGTTACGATATTCGAAAAAGTGGCCAGAGACAATAGTAAGGGTACATATCGTGTGAAGAAATAAATACAAAGGAAAAGGAAAAGAAGAGGGGGGGGAGGAAAGGGCGGAATACAAAAGAGTTGAATATGATCAAGAAATAAATCGAAGAGATGAATTACTATCGAGAAGTCCCACCAGGCGTAAGGATGCCCCTCAAGACAGGAAAACAAAGCCACAACTATCGATTGCCTATTCGGCTGAGAACAAACACACCAACTATAGCCACAGCCAATGTCACAATGGCACCTGGCAGAATAAGCTCATTGGGTACCCCGTTTATCAACTGCTCTGCTGTCGGGAAACGCACAATAGTCTGCGACCTGTCTGTAACAGAACTTCGATTGCCCACATTACTCTGCTCTTCTTCCTCTTCAATCGCCCCAGGCGGCGTGGCTGGTTTCAAGGACACGGAAGGCACCTGCTGAGCAACAGGAGGAGGGGGAGGTGTGGCAATAACAGGCTGCTTTTCCGGATCATGGACATAAAGATCTACCTTGTCCATATTGCTACTCCTAGACAGAGTGACGGCATCCCAAAGATCCTGATCTGTTGTTATGGACACTGTATCCCCTTCGTTGTCCACATAACTCAACGCATAGCCCGAATTGCTCAGTTTGCCATCTTCTACCAGAGCGTAGCCACCAACGGCTTCGACCTCAGGCCCCAGCTTCAGGGAGACCTGTGAAACGAGGTCCGACACACCTGCTGAAGGTGTAACGTGCAGCCTGTGAACTCGTCCGCTGGGGGCTTTGAATTTGAATGGGAACGGTGTGTCCTCATTGTGAGCTACGCGGGGCTCCAGGACATCTGAGGCGGCATCGTCGCCATGATGCGAAGCGGAATCGTTCGGGAGGACGCTATTTTCCCGCTCAACATGTGTCCTGGAAAGTTCGGGACTAACGACGGAGCGGATGGGGGTCGAGACCTGATGGCCGCCGTGGCTACCGGATATTATGGAATCGGACTCATGGTCCATGGAAAGCCAGAACTTATTCCACGCCGGTCCTTCGCTTTCGTTTGATGACATCGTATTGACCTAGAACAATTGGTGGAAATTTTTAGTGAAATGACCGTGGGCACAATTGTTCCAGTGAAGAAATTAGAAATATACTTGTTCAAGCGTAGCATAGGTTAACTTCAGCACATCGACCATGCCAACAATCTCTCCAGCCTCGTTCATTACAGGGAGGTTGAGATAGTGTCCATCTAGTTTCGATATCGTTAATCCTGTTTCTTCTGCACCTAATGAACGGGTGTCAGAACTAACCATGCATTTTCCGAAGAGCAGCCTGAATGCTCATATCAGTCGGAGCGAAATCCGGATGAGGAGTCATGACTCTAACAACGCTACAGGTGTTGGGATCCAACCCAGGGGCAATCACGCGAAGAACAATATCTTTACTCGTGAATATACCAGTAATCGAACCCTGATCCTGCACAAGCAATGCGGTGGTGTGATTCTCTTTCATCAACGCAGCAGCCTCCCTAACGGACGTGCGTACCGACACTGTTGTCGGTGGAAGTCCATTCAAAACGGTCTCCAATGTTGGACCGGACATCTTCTGCCGCAGCGCCTCGACGTACTGGATAATTTGTTGTGGCTGATTAGAGCCCAATTCCGACTGCACGCCCTCGAGGGCATCATACAGCTTGCGAGATGAACTGTATGCCCTCTCTAGCTTCTCCATAGCATCGTAGAAGCACTTGGTAATGTCAAGAATTCCAGATATATCCTGGTTTTCATCCATGACAGGTAAATGCCTGAATCCCTTCCGGACCATCAGGTCCAGCGCATCGGTAGCGCTGGTGTCAGTTCTCGCACAGAGAGGGTTCTTGGTCATGATTTCTGCAATTGTAACATCCCGAGCCCTGATACCGGCACCAACAACTCTAAAGGCCAAATCCTTCGCGGTGAATATACCCGCAATGCGTTCGTCCTCATCCGTCACGAGAACGCAATCCTCTCTCTTTGCAGCCATCAATTGCGCAGCCTCCGCGACCGTGGTGTTGGGCTTAATCTGGAGAGCATGGCTGGGTTTAAGAGCCATGACAGTACCGGGGGGTGCTTTGCGAGTATGTCGAGCTCGTGTAGGGTTATGTCTCTTTTTATTGAGGTCTGCTTCCATTTTCTTTCTGATAGCCTAAGCCATTGAAGTGATAAGTTACTTTTATCGAAAGGTGAGAGTAGATATAAGATTTATCGAGTACAGAGAAGACAGGAAAGAATATATATATATTGGAAATAGATTATTTACCTCATCACGCTTGGTCTGTTTCTGTCTACTTGTACTCAACGCCGAGCTGCTGCCAACATCGGAGGTAGCTGACTGGGGGACAGGAGGCGTTTCGACCTTGCGAGGGATACCAGAAGGGCTCCCATCGAAGGGAATCTGACCACGGCCCACGGTTCGATTTCGAAAGGTTCCTTGCCCTGCAGCAGACATGTTTGATACTGGTGGAAGATCAGAGGACAGAAAGTGCCTTGGAACCTAGATGTTGAAGAAGCAAAACAAGACGAAAGGACGGATCTACCACGGAACTTTGGTGCTTAGAGAGACTAGATCTGACTCAGAAGGCAGATAGCTAGATTTATTATTTCATTCATTTATTGGGGAGGGGGGGGGGTAGGCGGGGGGGAGGGAAACAAAAGAAACAAAGGGATAGGAGTCCGCGAGGGAGGGTAATAATGGCAACAATAAATATTGACCCGCAATCACGACACGAAGTTCGAAGTGGAGCCAATAGGGACCGGCGCGGGCCAGGCACGGTCACGGGATTAAATTCAATTATCACGTGTTGTGACTGTTGGAAGACGCTGACATAATCCGCCTTCGCTTAAGGGCTGTTGCCCTGTCGCCCACAAAGAGACGGCAACCGCAGCAGGAGTCGAAGGCCAAGGACAATCCGACATCAAACCACCCCAACCCAGCCGACATCAACCTGTAAGCTCCTCTCTATACACTCTTGGCCTGGTGCTCTCTCTGACATTGAAAGAATTGCAGAATCCGCCAAAATGGTCAAGAAACGGGCCTCGAAGTATGTTCATTGGAATTACCCTCTCTAGATACACCGCAATACCTGTACCCTTTTTCTTTCTCCGCAACGTGAACAAAACCCACGAGGAATTAGGAGGGATACTCATGTTTCCCCCTTTTTCCCGAAAGAAAAGAGAAATGACGAAATAGAGAGATTTAGGAGGAATATAAAAATAGCTAACGGTTAGCTCTTCTTTAATTGAACAGTGGACGTAACAAGAAGGGCCGCGGCCACGTCAAGCCAATCCGATGCTCCAACTGCTCGCGATGCACCCCCAAGGATAAGGCGATCAAGAGATTCACCATCCGCAACATGGTCGAGTCCGCCGCCATCCGTACGTTTCTTCCCCGGTTTATGTGACAGAAGGCATGGTGAAAGACGGAAAAGAGCCGGAAGGATTTCTGTTGCAAGAAGCTGATTGTGCTAATGTCGGATTACTTATTTTTTGTTTTTGGCGGATAGGTGATATCTCCGACGCATCTGTTTTCCCCGATTACGCCGTTCCGAAGATGTACTTGAAACTTCAATACTGCGTTTCTTGCGCCATCCACGGAAAGATTGTGCGGTATGGCTGATCCCATTCACATTCATCACCTCAAATATCCTCCGGAACAGAAAGATAGACACGTCAGGGAGAAGGAAGAGAGAGAGAACGAAGTGGAGACAAGGGGCATAAAAGAACGGTCAAAACTACGCTCGAGGACAGTTTTATGCTGATAAGGATACATTTTCTAGTGTACGCTCCCGAGAGGGTCGCCGCAACCGCGCCCCTCCCCCAAGAATCCGATACAACAGAGACGCAAAGAAGTCGAACCCCACCCAGGCCGCCAAGGCTGCTCAGGCATAGATATCAGCCGTTAGTTTTGTGTGTCAAAGAGAAGAACGTCGTGTGAGGATAATGGTGTAGTGCTGTCTCCTGGGTTTTTTTTTTCCTTTTTAGCTTTGACCTTTTGTTAAATTTTTAAATTTTTTTTTCCCGAATGGTATCAGGCACAAATATAAGTGGCATTTTCTTTGAATCAATATGGTAGGCTCCTGGAACAACATGAAGTGAAAAGCAGAGAAACAAGAATGAGACATGGGCGTGGGAACGATCATGCCTTGGTTTCTTTTGCTTTGGAACCCTTTTCTAGGCCGGATGCTTTCGTTGTTTTGTGTATGGTCTCCCTCCTTCTTTTCTCCAACTGGTAAAAGATGACATTATCAATACGGGGGAGAAGAATGGGACACGAGTAAATTAGCACACGGCTAAAACCCCAACAAAAATAAGGATTCTTAGGATGATATGGTATGAAACCATGTATTTCTTTAATATATAAACGCCATACCTAATAAAATTCCCATACTAGACAAAATGATTTCGGAAATAAAAAATGAAAAAAAGAATATCCTAACATTCATTCTAAATATTAGGCTACGTCTTGTCCCAATTCTTATCCCCATCGCGATGCGATGATGATTTATGACATGTTGACACTTATTCTAATTAATCTTAAAAGAACCCTCCAAAATATTCAAGGATACAATTATCTCTTCTCAAAAAAATTCCCATACAAATCCACAACACCCCCAGTCCTCCCCTTAGGCATAGGATTCCTTACAATCTTCACCTCACCCTTCCAATAGCCCTCGACATATAGAGGATACGTCGATGGTGACGGCGACATGGGTGATCGTGGCGGGATGGACGTAGGGATTCGAGCAGGCGATGCAGTGGTAGAAGTGGTTGACATGGTACACTTCCGCCTCCGTTCCGTGCGTAGCAACTCTTCATACTCTGCCTTCTTCGCCTTGCGGAACGCGGCTAATGCGGCGACGACGTCGATATCCGCTTCGTGGTGTGGACTAGTAGGCGGCTGCTGCTGCTGTTGAACGCCTGGAAGGAGATGGGGGGATGATAAGGGCGCTGGAGCTCTGGCTGGAGAGGCTAGGAATGGCGATGGTACGGGATGGAGAGGATGTTTCTGTGGACTGCGCTGGGAAGATTCATTGGTTTCCAGATGATGTGAGGGGGTCGAATCGAGCTCCACGGTTCGAGGAGAATTCACGGATGCATTATCCTGGTTTCTGTCCCGATCACCGTCCATACCCTTAACATCTTCGTCCCGAACCCCACACTCCTCCCCCGCCTCGTCGCTAAAGAAGCTAAAATCGTTTTCTGCAGCGACCCATAGGTTCTCCGAATCTACGTCCTCCGTGCTGGATTTGGAGAAGGATCCCGGCCCCCTTCGGTGTTTGTGTAGATTCCACGAGGCGGAGCCCTTCGAAAAATCAAGTTTGGCGACGGGTGTTATCTCAAGGATTATGCGCTCGAGGGAGAAAAGAGTTCGTGCGTGTTGCCGTTCCGCACTCGCGCGGAGGCAACCAGGTGGTAATGAGTAGTTGGAACGGGCTTGGAGGGTGGCAAGGAGGGCCTCATCTGCACAAGCTGTGATGAAGCCGATTAGACGGTATATGATGTAAGAAGACGATGGTGGGACGGAGGCGGGGACGTCAGTTAGCACGAGAGTTCGTAGGTGAGGGGTCTGCGAGGGATGAAGGAAGAGAGCTGTGTCCTTGCTAGGTTTCGGACGCCTTTCTAGAAGCCATTGGATTCGATCGGTGCGGGATTGGACGGATGGCGATGATGATGAGGATGGGAGTGAGAAAGGTTGTAGAGGGACTGCCTCGGGTATTTCATGGTCTCGCGTGGGTGCTCGAACCCCATAATTGCTCCTCCATCCAGGCATTGGCCTTTGAAATGAGGTATCAGGGAGCTCGTGCCGTACGGCCTCGCCATCACCTGGCAATTCGTAAACCTGAGTTGACAAGTTGTCGAGCTCCACAGGAGATCTTTGTAGTAGGCTAATGGGAGAAACAACCTCCGGCGATGACGACGATGTGTATTCCGTAACAACAGCATGGTGCACTCGTAAATATGTCAAATTATTGGCAGCCGAACGTCGTAGCGCTGGAATGAGTTTTTCGGCACCGGGAAACCTCACACCAACCACCCAATGGCTCTCATTGTCAATGATAGGCTCAAACCCCTTACGCTTCCACATCAACCCGGCACTTTTAACAGTTCCGCCATCTAGTACATGAAGGCGTGTCGACTTCAGTAAACTCCCCAGTCCTTCAACAGACAACCGGTTGTCCGAGATGTAGAGATGTGTAATACCAACATGCGATAAATCCTGGGGATCCGAACGGCCGGTCAGGGGTATCATTAATTGTTTCATGAGATGGACATCAAAGTCCTCGCTTTTTAACGAATCTGCATTCAGGACGTTCGAAAAAGAGCTCATAGACCGGGCCCACTCGAAATGGAACTTGACATCCCGCTCAGTTGGAGACGGCATTTCCACCTCTGGTGGCAAAAAGCATTTCTGCAGAAGCGGTCTCAACGAAGCGTCCGTCAGCAGATTGTTGCGCACGTCTAATAGTCGAACCCGTGTCTGGATAGAGTCAGCCACAACCTCCATATCAGCATCCTTCATGCCAATGCCCCTCAACTTCAACACCTGAAGGTGCTTCAGGTAAGACAGGGCAGCAAAAACGCCATGATCCCTCGCCGGGGTGGTGAACGATAAATCCAAGTAAACCAGAAGCGGGAAGCGCAGCAGGGCCTCCCTGATCCCAACAGATGTGGTATTCGGCTCCCGTTGTGCTAGCAGCAGACGAAGACCGTACGCTTCATAAGAAGTTTCATCGTTCGATTTCGGCCTTAACGCCATGAGCGAGTTGTGGTCGAAGAACGGCAGCTGCGACACGAGCAGAGACTGGAGTTTTGGTAGATACTCCAGAACCTCCTGGAGCCATGATGGTCTCGGTCCCCCGTATATCTCCGACAGGGCGGGTGGCAGATGGAATGTATGAGTTAACATGCGCACCTCAAGGCGAGCGCGCTTAAGCGTTCTTCTGAACCTTGTCAGGGCGACTTTGATCCAACCAAATTAGCAACGAAGCTCTGACTTAGCCTATCCCTAATACCTCCTTCTTTTCTAAGAGCTGCAAAAAACCTACCGTATACAGCGTCATTGTCGGTTCCAAAATGCGACGCCGGCGCTCCCCACAGGAAAGGTACGAAGACCGCATGCCATCTCTTGCAGACGAGTGATGCTGCACATAAATCTGCGGACGGGATGTAGTCGGATACTATGGCCCAGACATCCCTAGTAGTAGCTAGCTCGTAAGATGGTGGGAAATCCTCCATGGTTGAGATAATATATTCGCCGCCTCCTGAGCTCTTGTCGTGCTGCACATGAATATCTCTCCTGGCTAACTCGCCTCCTCCCAAGTCTCTGGAGCTTTTGCGTGTATTCGTTTCAAAACGTCATCCGGCTCGTTTCTGTGTTTTAGCGTCATTTACTGCCTTCCTCAGGAGCAATACTGAAAGTGCGTCAAAATGAATCAATCTCTTAGATGAAAATTGGGTTTATATTTTCGTTCGTCCTTATTGGCCATGCTGGTTGCTTGCTGGAATATCCTGGCTGAGGCGCCAGCCTGACACTCAACGCTTATCAAGTACAACTAGCCCGTGTGAGGGACAATACATACAAATATCCATAGATAAATATCCCGTCTGGACAAGGCTGACTACTGCACCTGGGAGAATAGTGCAGGGCAAAACTTCAATATCAGAAGCTAAAAATCGTTGGTTGTTTACCATGAAGCGAAGACGCCAGTGTATCTGAAGCGATGATAGGAGGTTGATGGTGACCGGTGCCAAACCTGGGAGGTTCTTGTGCCCCAGCGGCGCGGTGATCTTGAGCAGTTATTTGGAAAGGGGATATATATATATATATATATAAGCGGCTAGTTAATGCATTCACAACAATTACTAGTGTGGCAATGTTCCAGAATAAATCGCGTGGCTGTGCTCGGAATATCAAGTGACAGTCAAAGGTTAAGAACGACACATCATCAAGAATACGTCAACTCAATTCATAATCATGTTCGGTGAAGACAAAATCGTTGCAGAGAGTCCAGATAGTAACTGATCGTCCAGGAGGGAAGAAAGCACTAAAAGACAGGATTCTCAATTCCGGAGAGGAAGCCATTACCATACCCCCCCCAGATAACCATCATTCCAGACTTTAAAGGCTGTACGTTTTCAAACAAGAAAAATATGCAAGGAGAAAAACAGGAAGACTAAACCTATACCACACTTTTTCTGGACAAAGCGGAATCAAGGAAGACAAACCAAAAATGGCCAACTCAAACAAGTGATGAATGACAAAACTGCAAAGCATGAAAAAGAAGGGGAACATGCAGCAAGAACTCACAAGGCCAAATCAAACCCTGTAACATAAAAACATCTTTCAATAACAAAGCTGGACTTTGATCAAAATAAAGAAGAAAAAAGTTTTAATAATGGTGCTAAAGCAGATAAAACGGGACAGGAGCGACATTGAATATATGTGCTCATAAGCTTCTCTTCTCTTCCATGCTCACCTTCTCTCTCCTCGCAAGGCAAATAAGAAATATATGAAAGGTAAACATGACAACGAACCTTGAAACTTATAAAACTCGTTACAGCACTACTGGATCAACGGGGAGGCATTAAAAAAGGCTCGAAAAAGGGAAGAAAACATATCCAATCGAAGAAGATATAGCGGAGAAATGCATTGCAAATGTTACTTGCAAGGGAATGCTCTGGAGCAAAAACAGCAACAAAGAATCAACAGCACCAGATATCAAGAAATGAAAAATGTGCCAATGGAAGCAACCAAGGAGAGGGCCAATCCAGTGAATCAAGAGACAACACTAATGTCCTTCAATCATGGCTGTTTGGAACTGTTAATGGCATATCCTTAAAATTGACTCTATCTCATATAAAAATCTGGCTTCCTAACCAGTAGGGGGGTCAAGAAAGGAAACATCCTTTTACATGACATATAAGAGGTCGGTATCTGGTAGGGGCACAGGTTAGCAACAAATTATTTCCTTTTTTGAGTCTGCAAGGGCAAGCTGGAAAATATGAAACGTACTTAGCGGATGGCTGCAGCTCAATTGCGGCTTCTGACTATATTTCGTCGCCAATTCATCACGGATGCTCCTCAGTAGCTGTACGTAACTCTGTTGTGGATTCTTCTTTAATGCAGTGATAAACGCCCAAGACATGGCTCCAGTAGCTTCTCCGTTAATCGTAGCGTCTTGACTTGTCTGCGTGTCCTTACTGCCAGACCACATGATGACATCCGCGGGACTCGTTTTGGTTTGTCGCGCCTTCTGGTAACCGGCCTCGCCTTTCGTAGCCTTTTTGATGAATCCCCCAACTGTGGACAGCATGCCAGAAACGTCTCCTCTCGCATAAGCGGAAACAACACTAAGCAAACCTTGACCGGCTTCCTTAGCTAAGTTGGGCTCCTTGAGAATGCCTTGTGTGGAGTAGATGTACGGAAGGTCGAGAGCAGAACCGGAATGGCATGAGTCAAAAATGGCGGTTAAACGCACACCAGGCAGCAGCGACTTGACCATAATTCTGTGCATTTCGTCATCGACGATGTGTCCAGCCGATCTGAAGTCCACAGGATAGATAACCTCATCATTCCCATCATCTTCGTCGCCATCAAGATCCTTAGTTTGACCACCGTGACCTATTTAATACTTAGCGACTTGAAAATACATACAATCCGTAGCTATGGGAGATATACCGGAAAAATGGAAGAAGAGGGAATCATTAGGTCTAGCATCCTTAACTAGCCAGTGCATGGCACGCAGGATATTTGCCTTGGTTGGCTGGCTCATGGGATTTTGCTGGTCATCAGTCAAAATCACCATGTCCTCCCTTGCATAGCCAAAATTTTGATTCAAATAGTTCGACATATTTTTCACATCGTTGATACAGCCGCGCAGCTGGCCGCGCTGACCGAAATAGTTGATCCCAATCAGCAATGCCTTCCGCTTTCCTGTGCAATTCGAGTATTGGAAGCTATATCCCTGGGGAGCACCATGGCCGAATTGGACAGGCTGCGTTGGTGGGGGTGGAGGGCGACTATGCCCTCCCTGCCCATGATTGCCATAAGGCGAAGGAGGACCTGACTACCGTTAGCTCACTCAAACGACTTATGGTCAGGACGAAATTCACCTCCTGCACGGCCACTATACATTGGACCACCGTTCGGAGGTGCCGGGGAGACGCTTGGATGGAGTTGTGGAGCACCATACATAGGTTGCTGAGGTGAAGAAGCCTTTAACATACACTGTCAGCATGGAGAGGCTAAAGAGCGTTACCATCCGGGCACTTACCGCATATCCACCATTGTAAGGTGGCTGGGGAGACGGCGTATGAGGAGGATATCCGTATGGGTTCTGTTGGGGAGGGGGAGGCCCTTGCGGAGGATACCCTCCGTAACCTTGTGGTCTTGAAATTGTTAACTAGAAAACAGTCCCACGCAAAATTGCATAGCTCGTGGTAGCCTACTCACGGGTATTGCTGAGGAGGTGGTGCTCCGTATGGCTGGGGAGGGTATTGCTGCTGCGGAGGGTACTGCTGATGACGTGGAGGAGCATACCCGCCCTGGCCAGCCGGGTAGCCCTGTGGAGGGGGATAATATGACATGGTTCAAGATCGACGAGACAAGTGAAGGATGCGCAAAGGATAGTGACTAGCTTAGGAAGAGCCTTATACTTCGTAGACAGAAAAGCAGACGGAGATGAGCACAATTCAGGCTGAAAACCAGTCAAATTGAAAGCGAAGGTCGGGGGAAAGAAAAGATCAGCTGGTATATACAGCTAGCACCTGGAGCTTTAACGGTTGATATATATCCCAGTCACGATGGGTTTTCTCAGATTGATGGAGAGCTTAAAACAAGATCAACAGCGGCTATCGTCTCCCAAAAATGCGGAGGTTAAGTGATCGGTAACTAACTCGCTGGGCTCGAAAGATGTTGGCTTTCTCGTTAAGGGCGGCGGCGAAAGAGCGAAGGAGGCTTAGCCTGTGCTGTGTGGAGGTTCCCGTGTTTTTTCTTCCCGGATACACTGAGCCAGGCTCCTTTGGGCGTGTCTCGTTCAAATATAGCGATGGCAGCTGGTCGTCCAAACGAAAGCGGCACCTAAACACTCCAAATGCGAATATCTGATCGATGGTGATGGACGGGAAAGGAGCAGCGAGCAAAATGATGAATGGGACGTCGCCGAAGCTGAGATATTAGTTAGTTAGTTCCAGTTATTTTTACGCTGAATAATCTGAGGAATACGAGCCCATGGAACTAGCAACACCAACAGCAGCCAGAGCACAGAATGGGTTGTTTGTCAAGAGATCGTGACTGGGGCGACAAGGGATCTCTTCTCTCTTCTGGTGCTGGCGTGAAGAAGCGAGGGAAAGAAATTAAATTTCCCGTGCCAGGAACGTCGGTAAATTTTATTATTATTGATTGCATCACGATGCGTAATATGCTTGCTCTAGATATCTATTACCAAGAACTTAATGCCCATGACTTAACCCACTGTCCACAGACTGTGGAATCCGTCTTCAGCTAGCTATACTTTGACCATGTGTGCACAAGGCCACAGCCGCAGTGACCAAAGCCATTGGCATCGGCATAGTAACAAGACCCGGCAAACGCTGTCCAGCCCAATATCTCTACCAGGATCCCTGGAATTGAGGATTGGTCCCACCCAACCTTTGATGAGCGTTCAAAATCCAACTAGACAGTTATTCTGTGTTGTTGCGAAATAGCGAGAGATTGCTATATACTCCACTTGCTGTGTCTGGCGGATCGACTGTTAGAATCTTCATTTTATGAATTTTGAATTTGTTGTAGCAGTAGTTGTGTAAAAAAAGGGTCGGGCGACACTATAAAGGAATAGGGAGTGGAAACAAACAAAACAATAGTTAACTGAATACCTCAACCAGCCTTCAAAAGAGAATCAGTTGCTGGAAAACAATTGATAGACATGGTATCAGTTGACCACAAGACGCCACAATAATTCCACGCTGGCCGGAGCTTTGGTGAACCCATTATTAACTACTAGTTATCCAAGAAACCAAGGAATTTTTCCCTTCCCCGCGGCGACCATCTCCATATCTCCAAGCCAATTTACGTTAAATAACACTTGCATGCGCTGCTTCTCATGTTGCGATTTAATCAGACAATCGATCTGAAATCATCACACTTGGCCTGGGACAATATCAAAATATCGACAAAAACACAGAATTCTATTAGAGTATTGCAATTTTCCGGTGACTGATTTATGAATACGTCTTCCATGTTCACAAAGAGGGCTGTGGCATCTAAAACCGGCACTTGTGTCCCATATTCCTAGAACATATTTCGTAATGCCAGTCAAGGAAGATATTTGAAGAACTATTAATATCTTCATCATTAACACCACAAGCAGGATTGAAGGAATAAAATGAAACTTTGTCGTGGTCATACGCCCCCCCGCGTCCACACCCCATGAAGACAAAGACCGAGACGAACTGGGAGCACCCGATCAAAGCATTTTCAAGAAATGGCACGACATTCCTCCCGGATCATTCATGAATGCCTTTGGGACAGACATCAACCAATACCTTTTAAGAGGGAACACAGTTCATGCATAACTCCGGGCAGCGCTGAGAAAAGTCCACCCCTGTCTCCAACGCCCATTACCAAACTACCTACTTGTAGTAACTAGTAGCAACGGACATATTCATAACTATTCCACCGAAGAAGTCCAGCATACTGGGTGATTCCCGTCGGATCACTGCTGAAAATGCTTGAATACAAAAGACCACCGGAGTCTGATTTCCATTCACCAAACCTCTCCACTGCTTCTGGTGTTAATCTCCTTCATATCATGTTCTTGCTGTACGGAGAATAGCAGACAGCACTGAAGGCCCTGGATTTCAGAGCGAGTTATTGCCTTAGTACCATCTACGCCCCCGGCAAGCGACAGGCGTATCACGAGCAGAAAGGGCAATAGAAAAGAAAAGAAAAAAAGAAGAAAAACTAGTTGATCAGGGGACTCACGGGCCTTCCGAACGCCAGAAAAACAAAACACAAATCAGAGCGACACACTCTGCATTCGCAGCTCCATGATCCGTCCCCAGATCCATACCCCTAATCATGCTTGCCTCTTGGCATGTCATGTCACGCAAACGGATCCATTCTCCATCGCGTGGTCCGCGAACTACCGACATACATCGTCAGCACAGACGTGGCTGGCTGGACCCTGGCAAGCCAGGGCAACCTGGCGGCGGGATCGACATCATTCCCCGGGTTCGTCAGTTGCATAAAATCGAATGGGATGTTTGGGAAAACTGAGCGGCAGATTTGATGGAACTTTGTTAGGTCCTGGAAAGGGGGTTGGACAACTTGTAACCATGAGAAATCAATACGACCGTAGCATCATTGGCCAAAACTCTGAGCTAAGCGTTCATGCCGAGTGGGAGATGGGGGACGTGAGATGAGTTCAATGTCGTGGCGTGAGACGATCACCCTTTTTTCTGGTCTTTCTTTTCGGATCATCTTGAGCCTGATGGTGCGTTGAGAGTCGAATCGAAGGCTGGAGGATATTTTAGCACATGGATATATATATATTATTCCTAATGATCCACGATGCCATTGTTTTCAGATCCCAATAGAAACCCACATCTCATAGTTTTACACAAAGCTAGCACACGACTCAGGCTAGTTCTTTCATATCTTATTTCTCTATCTATTGTGGAATATTCAACCATCTGGCCTAAAGAGGTACTCCCTAGACCTGCCACCATCACTCAGTAACCTTGAAACGAAAACAGGAGCTTTCTCTGTTCTCCCATTAGAATTCAAGACAAATGAAATAAAATAAGAAGCAATTAAAGCGAAGAAATGGGCGCCATCCATTTCTACGAGTCAGTAACCAACACACCACCACTGGTCACCAGTGCGGAATAGCTATGCTAATTAGAATGGCATAATTGGACCAACAACAGCAACCATGAAATAAATTTATCTCCTGGGCATTCCCCGTCCTCTGCCACCACCCAGAACCCTTTGAGCAGCGCCTTGTGGAAGCGGCCGTTGCGGCGCTTGTGGCTGCTGGGATTCTTCGTTCTCTAATTGTGCGGAGTGATTGATTAGCACGGCATCGTTGCAACAACCTAGAACATAGAAGAAAGGGGGGAAATAATAATAATAATAATAATAATAATAATAATAATAATAAGGGGTAGGAAAAGGGATGGAGAGTGGGATGGGGCCTGAGGTCTCGGGACAATATTATTCAAACCGGATAACAAGAGAAGAAAAAGGAAACAGAAAACAAAGAAGAAAGAGTGTAACATACTGATAGTCTCATCCACACTAAGAATCAAACACGCCGCCTCCACCGCCGCCTGGATTCCATTCACCTTGACAAGACTAGGCTCCCAGACAAAAGCTTCCATATTATCCCTAACCCCCTCATTATCAAAATCAACACCAGCCCACACATTCCCTTTACGATGCTCCACGCGCAGCCGATTGAGGATATCCGTCGCATCAAACCCAGCATTATCACAAAGCTGTCGCGGAATCACCTCAAGCGCCTTCGCAAAAGCCTTGACAATCGCCTGCTGCTTATGCGGTACATTCAGATCCGCATAGCTATGCAGGTAACCGGAGAGTTCCATCTCCGCCGCCCCGCCCCCAGCGACTATGGTGGTGTTTCTCAGCGCCCGCTTGACGATCATGATGGCGTCATGGAGACTGCGTTCGGCTTCTGCGATGAACTGTTCGGCGCCACCGCGGAGAACTAACGTGCATGTCTTGGCAGCGGGGCAGTCGGAGAAGATGTTAAAGCGCTCGCCACCGATTTGGCGTTCTTCGAAGGAGCCGCAGGTCCCCAGGTGGCGGTCTTGGATGTCTGTGCAGGTGGATTGAGTGGAAGCGCCGGTTGCCTGGCATACGCGCTCCATGTCGTCGGAGGCAACGCGGCCGGCACAAAAGATGTCGCGGTCAGCGAAGTATCTAGATTTTTTTTTTTGATCTGTGTTAGTATAGCTCAGGAAGCGGAGGATTTTGAAAGAAATAAAGACGTACTGTGTTGCCAAATCACCAATGGGAAGCTTGCTGAGCACCACCTTTGCACCAGTCTTGCAGAGGGCTTCCATCTTATTGAAAATGATTTGCCATTCCGCATCGACGATGGCCTGGTACTCTGATACATGCTCCACACGCACCTCAGCATTGTCCTTCTCGCTCTTCAGCTCTAGTTCAACATTCAGACACACAATCTTGGGATTCGTGAAGAACTTTGGTTGTTGTTCGAAACCAGCGTATGAAAATGTCTTTTTGAATGCAACGCCGTTGATGAAGAGGGATTCCTGGAGAGCACCACCAGCAACCTTCTTCACGCCGATGAGTTTCTCATTCAGATCATCCTGGTCGAGCGATAGCACAGCATCAACAACCACTGCACAAAATGGAGGTTAACACATGTCCCAACAAAATGTTAACATAACCCCAAAACCAAACCAACCGCCACACCAAATCAATCAAAAGTTTTAAAGGGAAACACCTCGCAAAATCCACTCACTCTTAGTAAAAAAATCTGAATTCCGCTTAATAAGCTTGCTATTCATCGCCGTCCCCGCCAGCCTCCTTAACGTCTGAACCTTGCTCCCCAACTCGCCATGCGTACTCCTTAAATCCACCGCAATCTCTTTAATGCGGTTGACAGCCAGAGCACACGCCCTGCGCAGGCCCTTGATGATAATCTGCGAGCTGACACCTTGCTCGACCGCGTCTCGGACCTCCTTCAATATCTCACCTGCCAGCACGACGACGGAGGTCGTGCCGTCGCCTACTTCCGCATCTTGGGATCGCGCGATGTCTGTGAGGATGCGGGCGGCTGGGTGGACGATGTCGAGGAGCTGGGTTAAATGGGCATATGTGTTAGTAAATGTTTTGTAACCTGAAGATATATATGTGCGTGTGTGTATGTATGCTCAAAGGTCTATGAATGGCCAAGAGTGTTTGGTGGAATTGGCTGGTAGAGAAAGGAAAAACAAGGGAAGATAACAGTCGTCCAACTCACTTTCATAACCGTAGCACCATCATTCGTAATAGTCTGCTTCCCATTGGCATCCACCATTAATAAATCCCCGCCATAAGGGCCAAGAGTTCCCTTGATCGTCGACTGAATCACGAGACAAGCGTTGATGTTGGAGAGTATCTGGCCTTTGCCTTGGGATGTATCCGTGCCTATCCATTTGAAAGACAATGTATTAAAGAGGTGTTAAAGAATGGGACATTAAATCCCAGAAACCCGCATGGGATAGAATAACTAACCTTCCTTCAAGACAATGATCGTGGGCGTTTGGCCGGCGAAGGCCATGATTGTGGGCGAGGTTTAAATGGATCGGGGGAGTAGAAGATGCGTAGTAATAGTATTTCAAGAAAATCAGAGAAAGTAGAATCGGCCACTCTCTCTAATTGCAGATATGATGGGTATCGGTGTGATGTCGTTGGTGTTCATATTCCAAAATTTCTTTGGGAGCTTTTTGTCTGTTTGGTTCCCCCGATGCCAACCCCAGCCAATCAGCACTCGGCCTCTACTGGAACTTGATCACAACAGCACAAGTGAAAAACCAACGGATATATATCAATGATGTTCGACGTAAGGTAGGAAGTGTGTTGCCGTTATTCATCTTCATGAATCACTCGAAGTATACTCAACTAAAGGAAAGTCCTCAATCCAAATGAGTCATGTATTATTGTTGTCTAAAATACATCTACAACACCCATGCAAAGCCCCCATCTATTAGATACAACGCCCAATGGAATCTCCACCCCAAATAACGAAACCAACCCATGCCAAAAGCCCAAAGATTAAACACCCAGAGAAAATTAGACCCAAGAATGCTTCAAAACATCAAACATAAGAGCAAGAACAGGACATTATCATGGAATATAGACAAAAATAGAAGAAAAGAAGAAAGAAGAAAGATTAAATAAAAAATACACACCCACAATTTCTAATGACAAAACACCATTCATACATGGGTATCTACCCTTTAATCAATGATGAAAATGCGCCTCATCCACCCCTCCAAACGCCGCATTAAGCAACTCCTGATGCAACTGTGCTTCATTACTCATCTGCGCAGTCCCCACCAACCGCATCGACTGCTCCCGCAGTGCAGCCGCAGCCCGCTCAACCATATCTTCATCTTCATCCTCAACGATATGGTAGTCGTTTGAATGGCTATGTTGTTGATGGTGATGGTGACTGGGGTGGTGGTTGTGGTTATGGCTGTGGTGCTGCTGTTGCATGGAGGTAGGGCCAAAGTCATGATGTTGCAGGGGGTGGACATGGGCATGGGGATCATGAAGACTGCTGCCTGGACCGTACGGATCGACTGTGCTGTGGTGGTGCTGGAAGGATGGCAGGTGTTGTTGTATGTCGTCCATAATTTGTGGGTCAAGTGGAATGTTGGTGTAGTCTGACATTGGGTCAACGGTTCCATGTATCATTTGGGGGTGGGCGGTGGGGTTCGTGGAGGTGGCGAAAGGGTTGTCTTTATCGTACTGCTGGTCCGGGATGAGTTGGTCGTGGGGTGGTGTGTCGAAGCCGTTTGTGGGTAGGATGTACGTCTGCTCCGTCGAGCTGGGTGATTTTTCCCCTCGTGGAAGAATAGAGGGGTTCTCTGAGGTGGAGTTGGGGGTGGAGTTGGAGTTTGCCAGGGGAGCCTTGGGGGTCTCCTTACACTGCGGGCAGTTCTTGATAACCATGCTGACTGTTTCCTTGATCCTGACCCAGTGATACTTCAACGCAATGGTCGCTGTTGTCTTGTTGATGCCCCCATGTTGCTGGAGGTGGATTTGACGGGCTATCTCATACTGTTGCTGGGGATCTGACACCACCTCTTTATCCCTTAGCATCAACTTCTCTGGTCCACCATTTTGCCCACCAACCAGCTTATAATGGGTTGCAGCGCTCCTCAGACGGCTCTTCTCCGCGCGGTCTGCGCCACTTGGATATTTTGAATGCTTGAGATAATAACGAATCTTATCAAAACGCTCCTCTGACACAAAGTCTTCCCCTTCCGGGCCTAAATCTCGTCCATATATGATCCCATCAACGGGTTGGTTTGGGTGTGATTTCAGGTTCCCGCACCCTGGGACTTTGCCAATGCGCTTAAACCCCAAGGCATCCCATATTCGACAAGATGCCACATTAGTCTCGTAGACAAGGTTAAAAACAGAATAGGTATAGCCCTGAATTTGTGTTAATGAAAATCAGTACCCAATCGCAGATGTTAACGAAGCTGATAACTACGAAAAGACAAGAAAGAGGACTGACAAGCAAGGGGGCCCATTCCAAGTAACCCTCACCCATCAGCCGGCCTACTCCCTTATTCCGCGACGCATCAGTGACGAGGAATGTGCCGTTACAGACATGACTACTCCGCCCGGGGTAATTAGGCTTGATATTGAAGCTCCCCAGACAAATCTTCCTCCAATCGGTTCCCATCCTCCCCATCCCCTGGACATCACGGATACTGTTGATGTTGCCCAGTAACATCACAGCACCAAAATTTGAAAACCAATAGGGCCCAAAGGAGTCCAGCGATATAGGATCGATCATCGGATATGTGTCTCCCATTTCGATCTCCTTGTTGAGCTGGTCGCATAGGTACGCCAGCAGGGAAAGGGGCACATCTGATGGCGAAGAGAAGGGGACCAGGGTGGCAGCAGTTACACGGTCCCGAAGCGTCACTTTGCGGGGGTAGATGTTTGATGGCAGCTGGGGGTTAGCTGGGTTAGGATAGGGGAGCTGGCCTGATGTGCGGAATATCAGGGGGCCAGCTGGGTCTTCATGGACCGCGGGCATGGTAACCCTAACCCGCCCTTGCAGGTCACGAGACTAGGGTTCATCGTCAGTATCGGGGCGTTAAACACAGCTCACACATACGGAAGTACACCAATGCGCATATTCTATATATGTATGGTGGATGACTGAGCGGTGGCATATTGGAAAAAACGCATATGGTGGAATTTGGAAGGGACGAGTTACAACCCAGGTCCCTTTCCGCAAACCGGGGGGGGTAGACTTTACCAAAGGGCTTGCCCCAGGCACACAGAGGGAGGAGGCGCAGAGGTAATAATTATTAAGTAATACCTCTAAGTAACGTGCCTATATATGGACAAGTGATAATCTAGGTCTCTTGGGGGGTTATAATGGGGCTGTTGATACCCAGGCGCAACGCACACTTTGGAACGGCTGTCGTAGATTGGAGAACGGGGCGAGGGCGAGGGCGAGGGCAAGTGCGATGTTACGGGGGAGCAAAGTGAGGGAAGTTGCAGAACGCACCACCCCTTTCAGTGGCGTGTGGCGTGTGGCTTGTGACTTATCTTGGATAACAGGTTATTTAGTCAACTAACTAATACTTAACTAACTAACTAACTAATTAGTAATAACTAACTAGTTATAGTTAAAGTATTTCACCACTAACTTTGTCGTGCCAACATACTTGATCGCTTACTCACGTGATATAAAACTCTATTTAGTAACCTTGAGAACTACTTATCTGGCTTTAACCATCAGACTGCTAGCCCTAGACATTAGTGTAAAGGTGCAAGTCATCTTTAGATATCATATACAGGCCTCCGTACGACTGACCTAGCCCACCTCAAAGTGAATAAAAAATGAAGAAAAAAAGAAATTATATATACTAGAAACTGTTTTAATAAAAATTGCAAAAGATGATATTGAATTATCTATAATCAAAAACTTTAGAAATACTCATTCAGCTGTTGAAAGTTACTCTTATTATCTTAGTCAATAATTTCAATTATATTTGCTCTATTTTCATCATCTTTTTTGTTCATATAATTAGTAATAGAGTTATATAAATATAAAAAAAATATCATATAACTTGATAGCTTTTCACTAATTTAATATCTTATTTTTAATAATTAAAGCAGTCAAAATATATTAATTTAAACTTATAGTTACTGAATATATATTGAAAAAATAAATGCATGAAGGTTGAAATTGCATTAGTTAGCTAATATAATTAACCATCTATTATATTATATTATTTAATAAATTTCTCTTATTACTTTATTTGATAAAATTTCAAATTAAATAATAATTACAAGAAATTTCATATAGAAATTATACAAAGTAAATACTTAAATCTATTGATATTATTTAATATTATATTTAAATATATTATATTACTGTTAATTAAAAAATTTTATTTTTTAATTATTAAATTTAAATCTTTAACTTCTTTCTCTATATATTGATTAAAATTTTAAAATCTAGTAGTTCTAGCTATTATAACTTCAATTTAAATATATATAAGTAAATATTTGATTGTTAACTATGATAATATAGAATAAAATTCAATCAGAGATCAATTAATCTTATAATTTTACTAAATAGAGCAGACTACAACTATCAGATACAATAGACTCTATTCAAATATCAGCATAGCAATTATCTCACAATTACTTCATAGAAACTGTATAACAAAGATGCTAAGAACAGAGATAATGAGCTAAGAATAAGATATTAAGAAAAAAAATAAGGTGCTAGAGCTATATAAAGCAGGTTGTTAGGGAGCGAATGTGAGCTGCATAAGAAGGAAACTCTCTGCGTTGCCAACTGCTATGTAACGAAATACTAAGCTGTGTCTGCCTGGATTTTAACCACCTGCATGGTCGTTTGGTCACGTGATGTGGATTAAGCCTAATCGGGCGCCGAGCTTAATCCGACGTCGAGTCTAACCGGGCACTGAGCCTAACACAGGTCTTACTTAGATCTATCTTTTAAAGATCATCTTAGTATTTTGTTGATATAGTTTATCTAATTAGCAAATCAAATATCTATTTATCTGTATCTAAATTGAAGCTGTGATATAATACTAAGATCATTTACTTTTTTTACTCTTTTAAAGTAGGTTTTTAAATTAAAAATCTATAAAAGTTCTTTATTATTTTTATCTTTAAATTCTTAAGAAAATTACTATATTTAAACAGTTAAAAAATCTAACAGTCAATGAAGATTAGACTAAAATATGCTACCTCTAACTGAGAAAGACATGAGACCAGAGAAGCTCATATCAAAAAGACAGTTTATTGAGATATTAGTAGAGAATACAGATTAAATATATCAAAAGATCACTGATCTTATAAATAATATAAAAGACATTTTAGATAGAATTAAAGTAGAATGAGATGAAGAGAAAAAACAAAGAAAAAAACTTAATCATTAAGTAAATAATCTGATAGAAAAATAAAATATATTACAGCAAATAATGAATTCATTAGTCTTATAAATTAGATTGATGAATATGCACTGAATACAATAATTAATCAAGCTAA